TTTGGACCATAGCATGTGGGAAACAAAAAAGTAAATGAATATTATCCATCAGATTTATATTGGATTTAATTGAATTTGGATTGCAATAGGGTATTAATCTAATATTATCCATCTAGTCAATTTGGATTGCAGCAAGGTTGCTCGTGAACTTGCAGTTAAGGGTGTTGGAGCCCGGGACTCAGTTTGGTTGCAGCCTCCGCCTTGGTTGGTTGAGTTTTTATCTCTGGATTGTTCTCGTTTTGGGAATAAGAGATGCTCATTCCCCCTAGGCCCTAGTTGGTGTTTCTGTTACTTGTTCGCTTGATAGGGTCATTTGTTTGGTGTCCTGTCTTCTCTTCTTTCTTGTCTTGTTTTTTTTTTTTTCCTTCTGAATCTTTGTTTTATGCCTGTGTTGTTGTTTGTTTCCTGTGTTTGTGTTCCCTTTTTTTGCTTAATAAAAATCTTTTCATTACAAAACAAAAAAAACAATAATAAATTAAATTAAAAATTACGAACATGTTATATATTCATCATTAATAAAATTTAACTAAAATGAAAAGAAAAGAACAAAATGAATTGAAAATTTGTATGAAACTTGAACCTATGAATCTTAGGTAAAAATGCAACATTCATACAATTTAACTAATAGATATAAAGGAGATAGATTTTGATCCACCCCATATGATTGAGATAAGGCATGGATGATGATGATGATGTACCATAGATTTTAAATATATAAAAACTATTCATTTAAATCAAATCAAAGCAGATCATATCGGATTCAAGAGGGTGCATCCATATTCAATCCAATTATAAACTTATCGAATTAGGGGGCCACCCTTAATCAGATTGATTTTTATTTTTTAATTTGGACAAACGGATTAATTTTGCAGTACAAAGTATTGAAACATAAAACAAGCTCTTAACCCCAACAATTAAGACCTAATTAGGCTCTAGACTTCTAAACGCCACCTAACCGTCTTCTTTTAACCTTTTAACTGAGAACTGTTTAGAGATATCGCTATTAACATGGAGGGGGAAGAGATAGGGTTGTGAGGTTCTTCCAATCTCAGTGATGGGTCCCCATCCCATTCAACACTTAGCTTGCACTGGCAATAAAGGAGATGGACACAAGAGAGAATTCATCTTACTGAAACTCAAAGGAAAGTTGGATTTAGATCCCCACAGTTGGAGGAGACAAGCATCCCCTATGATTAAAAAAAAAAAGTAGTTTTATTGAGTTAGGTCCCAAATAAAGCGACCCAAAAGATGCTTCAAAAGCATGAGAGCAATCATTTAATACCATCTCATTATGTCCTACCGTGATGTTTCCATGAAATTCACAAGTCTTTAGGAGATATTGATGCCTCATTGCTTCTTATAAAAAGCCAAGCTGACATCTCCTCTTATTCTCTTCAGTCAATTTTAGAAATTTCTTGTATAAGTTGAATTAATCAATTGGGTTTCTCATATTATGGTATTTAGCATCTTCAGAATTACAGCGCCCCTGTTTGGGAGGGCGTTCACACAGCAGCTTCTGGTTTTACAAGATGGGTTCTATATGAACAGCCTAGAAGTTATGTTTGGTGAAATACCCAAAAACCCGGAAAGTTCAAATACATCATCATTCGGTTAAAAAAAACGGGCTTTCCAATGAAACTTGTTTTAATCGTTTCTTCAAAGCAGTTTAGTAAAAACAGCTCGATCAAAGTTGAAGCCCTCCCAAACAGATCCTAATGAGTCAGTAAATTTATACATAATTTAAACAAAACAAAGTACATTAGTGATTAAATTAAGAATAGTTAAAAAAGATTGATCTACACACCTACTTCCCTTAATTGATTAAAGCTCAGGAGCCAAAGCCTCCTTTATTAACAACTTAATTTATATCCATGGCACGATGGAATCCCTCCAAGAGATGTCGAATCCCCAACTCCCATCCCATGGTTACTTTAGTTTGGATTTGGTTGCCAAGTTTGGCTTTCCCAAAAGGAGAGTCATGCCAATTGCCAACCAACCTCACTACTCATATAGTTTTAAGCTTTTATTTTATCTCTCTATTACATTTAATATATAATATATGCTACTTTGCTGCTAATCGATAAAGCCTCAGAAGCTTTTCCATGTCTGTCCCTACTCTAATAAGGGAGGGAGCTATCACACATGGCAGCACCCCAGTTGCCGAGGTTCAGGCTTCCCATATAAGTTAATTGGAGAAAGTAGCATCAAGGAATCTAAACCAGCTTTTCTTTAATGCTGTGGTAGGTTTTGCCCATTGTCGTCTCTCTCTCTCTGCTCTGGTGCATGGTTTATTATGTATTTGGATATAAAAAATTCTCTAAACAAACTCGATAGACTGAGTAGAGGGAGGTAATATCAGAAAAAAATACATAGTGAAACCCACCCAATCAACACAAATCATTTTATCTCTTACATGCTCATTTTTCTAAAGCTTAGGGTTAAGAATAGATTAGAGTTTTATAAAACAAAGTATTAGAGAGATTCCATTATTCTAAAGCTTGGGTTTTGGTGAATGCAATTCCCAATGCCACAACTAATAATGGCAAGAGAGAGAGAGAGGTTTTTTTTTTTTTTTTTGGGGGGGGGGGGTAATGCAGAGAGAGAGAATTACACCTTTAGATTTACAAAAGAAAAGGAAACTTTATCTCAAGATGTCTCAACAGCTCAGAGACACAATTTATCCTCATAATTTTTTTTTTTTTCTCTCAAGAGTCAAGAATCAAGATGACTCAACAGTTGAGTCCTTCAGTCAGTCTCCTGGTTGCACTGGTATTTTTGCACTTATACAATTCATGCTTTGGACTTGTGCCTGCCGTGTGGGCAAAGAAATAGGAACCCATAATGAAATCCATGAGAAGAAATTGGAGACTGAAGAAATTATATGGTTTCAACTTTCGAAAGAGAGGGTTCGGGAATCTGGACGTCCCATGAAATCTCTAAGCTCAGATTTTCTATCAGCCACAGTCTCAGTCTGAAACAAGTAGCAGAAGAATCCCAACCTCACATCTCCTTGATGCTGGACCAAATTCTGGTGGAGGGTAGGGCCTAGGGCGGGAGGGAATAAAGTGACTTGACATCCCGTCAAATTCTCGGAGTAGAATTATGGTGTTTGGAAAAAAATTTTAAAAATGACTTTTGGAATTGAAGTAGGAAAAGACCATTTAAATCAATTGTACCTTCCTACGCCTTCCTTCCACATGTAATAGTTTCTGCGTGTCCCTGACTCCACCCTAAACAATTATATACTTCTTTACATTATTAATGTCCTTTTTGGCAATCCACCCACTCGGGTCGGGTCGGTTCAAATCCATAGTCAGACCCGATGGTTTTTCAAGGTTTGAGAATTGAGATAGACCCACCAGGTCCAATCTAATGACCGGGCTGGATCTGGACGAATTTTGTAACTGGATTGAGCTAGCTGTGCCAACCCAAACCCAAACCCAATAAGAAATTCTTCTGGGGNGGGGGGGGGCTTCAATTATTGCCACTGCAGCCTGGTCTGCTTCCAATTGAATTTATTGAAAACAAGGTGGTGTTATAAACATGATGATTTTACGTGCATGCACGAATTTGTATCCATTGTGTCTAGAGATAAAACACAAGCAACTGAAAAGGAAATTCACCAATTGCTACTAAAAAAGTGTTAAAAACAATCATTTCTCTGAGAGATTTTTTTAATCAAATGGGCTTCTATGTATGATTGAGGCCTGTGGCTGTCCGCTTTGCGTCTGTCTTACTACCAACAATGGTTTAATTATCTGAGAATTAGCAATCAACAATGCAATGGCTAATGGGTCAGATTTCAGAATTTTCTAACAAAATGGGTTGGATTGAGACGTTCAATCTAAGCAATGGGAGCTCAAAGAGGAAATGGTAAATAGTTGGGATAAGGCTTTGTTTGGTTCTGTGTCACGATTTGAAATGGGATCCCCAAATATCCATCCCAAATCCCAATCTAGCGCTTGAGGCTTGAAAAGGTTGAACTCTTCCTTCCAAGCGTACTTGACATGGAGGTTGGGGGGTCGTGTCAAGTATGGCCACTGGTTGTCCTTCCTTGCCAAGCATAGTATCAACACAAATGGGATCCGCATTTAGTGGTTTTGGGGTTCACCATATGGATACTATTTTCCTTCCTAACAACACCTTTACAGGCCGTATGGCCATCTTTTGTTTTTGCTTTCTTCACTGTTCTCCATGTCTCTTCTCTCAGACTAAACCAGATTGATGGTTGTGATCATTTTTATTCTCTTCCTCTATCATTCCAACGTGACCCATTGAAGCGCAGAGTCCCGCCCTGATACAGAGACCAGGAATCCCACAGAATATGTGTGTGTGAGAGAGAGAGATTTGAATGCTTTGAGTGCAAGCGGATAGTGTATGGTGGTGGACTGTGTAATTAGTAATTAACTAATTACTGAGGCAGGCCAGCCTCACCAGTTGCTTCCTTCCTTGTATTGTGATGGATACGCTCACTTGGTACGTGTAATAATAACTACAACTCTGGATGTACGAGACGAGTAGAGGATTCTCCCTCCATTTTGGCTGTCCTTTCAAATACAAACATCAAGAGCAAATGGAGCGAGGATGATGCAGCGATACGTTGTTCAAGTTATCAGTTATCACATACAGAGAGAGAGAGAGAGGGCACCCTCTAAAAATAATGCAAAATCTGGGCCTCTGGGGGTGGGTCTTACCTTTGGGTCTGCACTCTGCACTGTGTAGTCTGTGTACAGCTCAGTATATCTCGCACAGAGAAATTGCCGAGAAAATCAGCCAGAACTTTGGATGGTAAGAGATTCTTGACCAAACAAACCTCTTTAAAAATAAGATTTTTAAACTCAGCTCCCAAGGTTTAAAGAAGGACATGTAGGAAAATGATTAAAAAAAACAATCTTTATAGAGTTGGCAATGTCAGCTGCTAGCTCAAAGCTAGTATAAACAAGTGTAAAATGCAGGATTAAAATAGGATTTGATTGAAAATAAAAGGTAAAATATATGTATAAAATTTTGAAAATTAAAGGTGGTGAACGAAGCTTTCTCTGTGTTTCTATTTTACGGTGGCAGTGGCGGTGGTTAATCATTCAATGGCTCTCTTTCAAATTCCGGCGTGGGTATAAATGCAGAGCCTTTGTCATTAATCCTTTCTTTTCCCCTTCATAGACCCAGGCCATCTTTTCTCCTTCTCTCTTGCCATTGTTCAGGAGCTCTTCTGATCTCTTCTCCCTTTCGTGTTGTTTCTCCCACCAGACATGGCAGTATACAGAAGTTCTCTGAGCAAAAAATAGGACTCTTTCAACACGGTCTGAATTCAACAAAGTTTCAGTAAAGGCTTGAATGGAGAGCAGAATGCCAAAAGTAGCAGAGAATCTTAAATGGGTATCTTTCCCTTTCCACTTTTAGTTGGGTCTTTCTCTATTTCAGAGCTTGTTCTGGAGCTCTGACTAGGGTTTTTACTGCAGGGTTTTAAATGGTTAGTTTTGATCCTGAAATCAATCTTTTTGGTTGCTTCTTGACTCCTTCAAATTACTTCTTTGCTCTGTCTTTGAGGCGGGTTTATGCTGTTCGGTTCTTCCCTTGTGTAGTTTGGAAGTGGCAATTTTGATGATAGCTTTGAAGAAAGAAGCAGTTTTACTTGTTTGGTCTCTGGTACATATCAAAATATTTGGTCTTGTCTTGTTGTTTTATATTTCTACTTCACCGTTTGAACTCTATTCTCTTTCTTTTTATTATTTACTTGAGGTTGATTTCATCTGTTGTTTGAAAGTTTTATAATTTTCTTTTCTTTTGCTTTTATGATAGATTGAGCGTAAAAACTCTGCAACTATAGTGAACTTTGTTTTGGTTTCTGAGCTCTTGGTCCAAGTGGTTTTGTTTTCCTTGCTTTGTATGCTGGGAGACTGAAGAGTTCTCTATTTTGATCTTTGACTCTCTTACAGTGTTTATGTGCACCCGGAATTGTTCTTCTTTTCCAGTTTTGGACTTCTTTTTCTTTGTTTATTGTTAGTCCAAACCAGTTTTGGGGTCGGGAAAGATTCTCTTCTTCTTGCATCCTTTGCTGCACCTCTTGTCGAGGATAGATGGATACGAGAGACAAAGATAAATTTGGGTTGGAGAAGAGTAGTGATCCCGTGAACTATCATTCATCTAACATGTCTTCAGATTGGAGATTTGGTGGTGCCAATCTCACAAATCAGTCAATGAGTTTAGTTCCTGCAGACAATTCGATTCCTGTTTGTAAAGGGAATCTAATGGGTTCCTCTGTTCCTATGGTAAACTCATTTTGCCCAACCATTTGGGATCACTCCAATTCACAAAGCTTGGGTTTCTGTGACAATAATGTACAAACCACTTCCAACACGGTAGCCATTAGGAAAGGGTTGCCTGGTTGTTCAAGCACGGTTTCTGATAAAGTTCTAGACCTAGGCTGGAATTCCAAAGGTGGGGTTTTCTTGCAGGGCAACCCTGGAATCCTCCCCCAAAGCTTGTCTCAGTTTCCTGCCGATTCTGATTTCATTGAGCGAGCTGCCCGGTTCTCATGCTTGAACTTTAATGATTTGGTGAATCCTTTAAACATGCCCCAATCCTTGAGTCCCTATTCTAAAGGTGGAATGGTCCATGGACCATTGGAGGAGCTCTCAGCTGGTAGGCTACACCCTGCATTGGGTGCTCTATCTCAGAACAATGAACCTCACTTGCCTGAAGTTGCCAAAGAAATCTCCCCATCTGCTAAGCTTGGGGCCACTGAAGGGAGTTCGATGAAGAATGAGAGACAAACTGGGAACTTTGTAAGGCCTCCTCATGAAGCAAAACAAGGAATCGGTGTGTCTAGCCATGATTCTGAAGAAGCTGAGTTCAGCAGTGGTGGTGGTGGTGGTCGGGACGATCCATCTATGTTGGAAAGTGCTGGTGGTGAACCTTCTTCTAGTAAGGGAATTGGCAAGAAAAGGAAAAGAAGTGGTCAGGTAGAAATAACAAATTTTAGTTTTTTGTTATCTGCTATAGCTGATTAATTTTGAGTTATGCAATTTTTCTAACTCATTTCAGTAATTTCTTATGGTAGGATAATGAGCTTGACCAGGTTAAAGGGGCCCAGCAACTACCTGGTGAGGCTGCAAAGGACAATACTGAAACCAATCAAAAGGTTGAACAAAATCCAATTTCAACCAATGCAAAGCCTACTGGAAAACACAGTAAAGATAACTCTCAGGCCTCGGATGCACCAAAGGAAGATTACATTCATGTCAGAGCACGGAGGGGCCAGGCAACAAACAGCCATAGTCTTGCAGAAAGAGTAAGATTTTTTCCTACTGGATTTCGGTTTTTATTCGTCCTCCATATATACTTTAATCCTGGGTTTCAGTTGGTTACTTTTTCTTCCCTTTCTCACATCATAGGTAAGAAGGGAAAAGATTAGTGAGAGGATGAAGTTTCTTCAAGACCTTGTCCCTGGTTGCAGCAAGGTATCTGAAGCTAATACCTTAGGGGGTATATAAGCTGAGTTTCCCAGACCTTTGTAGTAGCTTTAGTTTATTTTATGACTGTTATTGGTTTAACAGGTCACAGGGAAGGCACTCATGCTGGATGAAATCATTAACTATGTACAATCACTGCAACGTCAGGTGGAGGTATGGTGGTAATAAGACTCAGGAATCTCTAGATTGTGCAGTCATAATACTTAAATTTTTGAAAAGGTTATTTAGTTTGATATGTGAACCTGACCTGTATCCATTATTTGAGTTGTGCATGGGACACGGTTGATACAGTAGTTTATATAATAGGAAAAATGGCATTTATCCTTTTTTCTGGAAAAAGGTGCCTTATTGCCTAAATGACTTTTCTGCTGATTTTCAAAAAAAAAAAAAAGATCAGGAATGTAAATCTCTTTATAACTTTGACCATTTGAAACTCATTTCTATAATAGAGAGAATGAAATGAAAAGTGTTGAAAACCTGTAGATAATGGTAAATGGTGACAACAAAAAAAAAAAAAGGTTTCATCCATGTTGCTTTCAAATGTTTAAATCCCTGTTATGGAGAGGAAATGTTAATTGTTTCCCTTGTGCCTGTTGCTATTCTGAACCATTCTAATCTAATTTGTTATTAGCAATAATCACTCCTAAGAACTTTGTTGTTCATGGTTGGAAATATGAATTTCTCTCTCGTTGCAGTTTTTGTCAATGAAGCTTGCAGCTGTTAATCCACGGCTGGACTTCAACATCGAAGGTCTCCTAGCAAAAGATGTAAGTGAAGTCGCACAAGCACACACACAAAATGTACAAATGAGTGTTCTTATGCTGATTTCTTCCAACTATTTGGTACTTCACCACAGATTCTTCAGTCACGAGGTGATCCTTCTACAATAGTTTTTTCTCCAGATATGGCCATGGCTCATCCCCAGTTACATCCATCTCAACAGGGATTGGTCCAAGCTGGGATTCCTAGCATGGCAAACCCCCCGGATGCACTTAGGAGGACAATTAATTCACAATTGACTGCCATGAATGGAGGATACAAAGAAACCACGCAGGTACCATCCTTGCACTTAGGAAGATAATTAATTCCATATCCCTTAGTTTTCTTATCTTACAGTAACACAGCACTCCATCTGGTCTATTTTGCAATTTTCCTTTTACCTTTTCTGTTTTCTGATAGTTGTTGTTGCAAATAGACAAAGGATTAAGTAGATAATTAACTAAATAATGGGTAATGAAAGAAAATAATGGCAGGGAATCTTGTGTTGCTTTACATGTATGATATGTAGAATGAATAAAATAAAGACAAAGGACAAAAGAAAGGGACTTCTCCTTTGTAGTATCAATAAGACAGCCAAGTATGCATGGGCCAAGACTTCTCTTGGTGGCCCACAAAATTAAGGTGCAAAGTATTCCTTTTGGATTTTAGATGCATGTGAATCCTAATGTGCATTCACAGTTGCCTTATTATCTTAATCTTCTACAGCTACCCAACCTCTGGGTTGATGATGAACTTCACAATGTTGTCCAGATGAGTTTAGGTTCCAGTGTTCCTTTCAACAGCCAAGAATTAAATGGTAAGATTTTTTCCCTCTTTTTTCAACTCTAGGAATCGTTCTCTGTTGTTTGTTTTCTTATAATAATTACAACTTCTCTTTTGCATTAATAGGTTCTTTGCCACCAGGACATATGAAAGTTGAGCTTTAATTTCAGCTAATTGTATCTGGTACCACATCCTTATGCATGTTCAAGGAGATAATGCTCACAAAAGCTTCCTCTTGGAATCAATTATTATGACAAAAATATACATCCCACCATTGTTCAACTGAAAGAAGACACATCTGTTCCTCGCGATACTACGAATCCGAAGCCCGGGCTGATGGTCCCTAGTTTGTTTGTATAGCCAAGGGAGGAGAATGCAACTCTACCTCCAAGGATTATGAAGTATATTATACAGGTATAATTGTTCATTTTAGTACTATATGCAAGATAGAAAATCCATTGTACAAGGAGATAAAAGGTTCTTGTCGTCCTCCCAATGAAAAGGATATATCTTGATGTAGAGAGAGAGAGGGAGAGTGTGTGAGAAGCACAACGGGGTTCACTCACACCGGATGATCTTTTGTGAATTTTGGGCAGCGTTTTGGGGGAAGATCAGTTGCTTAGGTTTGGATTTTGTTGTTGAAACTCATGTTTGTGGTGCTTTTTCAGTTCTAAGTGGGAGGAATTGGAAGTTGTAAGCTTTACTATATATTAACAAATGAAATTACTTTTTTTTCATTTCTCGATGAGGCATCGTGTCAAACGTCTGTCTCATACTTCAGCATCGTTTGTCTTTGTTTTTCTTTGGAAAAATGTTTCTTTGTAGTCTACTGGTTTTCAATGATATTTTTGAGTAAAAATTTTCAATTTGATTCAATAATTGTCCTGCTCCTGCTGCAGAAACAAATAAACATCTGTCCAAGTGGATTATGTTTTCTTTTGAAGGAAAGAAAGAGGGGGACTGGGTCTACGGGCAGATTCCCTTGATGACCACAAATCTATGATAATGCTAAATCAAAATATAATATGAGCAGATTCCCTCCTTAAGTAGGTCCAAACAATATTCATCATGGAGTTTTTGGTAGAACAAAACCTCTACGCTAGAAAGAGGCTACAAAAAGACATAAAGAGAAGTGGCCGTCGCAATCAAAATAGCCCACCTCTGAATTTGGCTGAAATATTCTCTTGGTCTCTAAAATCTAGTGGACTCAACTCAAGTGGAGCCAATGCGTTGGCAGCGTGGCTGAAAAAGCTGTTTTCAATACATCAAAGATCCAGTATCAGCTTGAAAGGCGTCAAGAATGCAGAGAACCGCATCGAAAGCAAAACAAAAATAAGAAGACGAGGCAGAGAGATAGATAACACAATTACCTTTTGGCAGAATGCTGACCCAGTTGAGTGTAGACAGTAGACCCAGAAAAGTGAAAACCAGAATAAGAATGTCAATCAAACACCTCTTGGAGATCAGTTGTCCTGTAATATATTGAGTCCATGTCTGTTGGTATTATCGCATGGTCCGTATTAATACTTGCAAAACTATTTCAGTTGGACTTTCCTGCTCTGAAGTAAACCTTCCATGGCCGGACACCCTGGAAAAACAATCCAAGGTGTGCCTTAAGTGTTGCAGAGAAACGATGGGGCGGACCTCCCATCTCATGGCCGGACGTTCCTTCAAAGTAGATTTTGTTTGATATTGTTGACGGTGACTACCACGTTTGAGAGATTTATCTTTTTTTCTGACAACATCATGGACATGGGGTAGCGTCTCTCTCCGGCCAAAAACTGTTGACATGGAGCTTTCATCTTAGATTAGTCCCTCTTCAAACTTCAAAGGCTTCAGCCTCCATTCTTTTACTAGTGCAATGCAGGAACAGCTTTTGCTGTGACAGCAACAGAGACATAAATTCCCGATCAGTACTCTGTATTTTGGCTGGAGTGATAATTTAGTCCTCAAACTTTAAAATGCAACAATCCAATACCCAAATTTTCAATTTGCAACAATCTGGTATCTGGTGTTAATTCACTGTCAGTCAACGCATAAAAAAGACATAAATACCCATTTCATTATTCAACAACCGAATTTGAATCATTTTCAAAATGATGGAAATGACCACTATATTGACGGATTCCTCTTCCTTGACCACAAAATCCGATGAACTTGCTCTCGGATAATAAACAACCTCAAAAGGCCTATTTACTCTTGCTAACTCAGCAACCTCTACTATAGATTCAGCTGGAACCCTACCCCAGATACTCCTCAAGAACCCCTCTACCCCTCTTTCATTTTCACAATGGGAGAAGCCACAAACCCGACATGATAATTCCACCGAACAAGCTTCTTATGATAACCCCTCTCCACTTCCAAACCCTGCCCTTGCTACTTGACCTCGCAGTGTGCCTTACCCCAACAAAAAGCTCTCTAGTTTGGTTCTTCATAAAAACCACTGAATCTCCAGGAACAAGCTTCTTATGATTAACGAACTTACTCTACCCAGTCATCAACAAATGCTAACATGGCATCCCACAGTAAATGTGCCAGAAATCCCACATCACACCATGAACATCTCTCACTGTAATCGTCTATACTGGCAACTCCGCCTTGTAGTTCAGTGGGGGAAAAACTGAATCTTCAAAAAACCTAGGAACTGAAAACCCACCTCTATTGTTTGCATCGCTTGGTGTCAGAATATTCGAGAATGACAAAATCTTTTCCTCGGAATCTTCAATGTCATCGTCCTGCGACAATCCCATTGCAACTGGCGGCATACGAATCATTCCGAAAAACAATCAATCCAACGGTTCAAGACGTATTTTTGCAAAAACCTCATCAGTATCAAGATTCACTAGGAACAACCAACACGATTCTACATAGAACCATGTGCCTGACGCAAGCTAGAGAACTAAAATCTAGAGAATAAGAAGCTTGCTCTGCATGGCCTTGTGAGAAGTAGTAAACTGTGGAACCAGCAGTCGGGATTTTTAACTTGTTCCTCTCAAAATAGGTTGTGTCGCTTTCGACAATTCGTTCCTCTCAAAAAAAAAAAACAAAAACAGAGATCATAATCTCCTACAATATTGCTCGCCATCAAAAGCCCATCTCTCATCTTTATTCTTCTTCAAGGAAGCAAAGATGCTTCCCTACCAGAGTGAGCATACCCTTTAAATGAACGATACCAAGTGATAAACTTTTCATTTCTGCAACCTCTTCTTCTTCTATCTCGTCATCGTTGTTGTAGATGAATCGAGTGTGCTTCCCTGTAAATCCTGGCATTTTCTTCTGATTCACGTTCATCTTTCTCAGCAATGACCAAGTAACCAGAGTCTTTCGAGATTCAGCAACCTCTTTATTCTTTCCATCCATCCCCGTGACAGATTGAACACAAAGTATATTAGATTTTACATTTTAGAATTCAATTGGATAGAAAGGAAAAAGAATGGTTAATCAGTAAATGCCACCTCTTCTCTCGTTCCTTCAACCCAGGTTGAAGATAAAGGGATCAGGGTAAAAATAAACAAAAAGAGTAAAATCTGAATATTATTATAAAGGCTAGTTTCAGCATTATGAAATTATTTAAATTGCAATTGATATCACGTGATGGCTTTAAATAACAGTGATTTAACGTTAAATACCAGATTGTCACAAATTAAAAGTTCAAATATTGAATTGTGGTGTTTTAAAGCTTGGAGACCAAATTATCACTTGAACCAAAGTACAGGGTACTGATCGAGAATTTTCCCTTTGATATATCACTGTTTTAGATGGTCTCACTCTTTCCATCTTGCAGACGGTGTCAAACGTCAAGCTACTGACCTTCTACGATCTCCATCGCGCTGGCATCAAAGGATTGCTGGGTGGGGTGAATGATGTTTGATGCCAATCTTGTCCCTTCCCACGACCAGTCCATTTGGATGATCTTGAAATCTGTGATGTCGAGGACCCATCGGTCCTTGAATGCGAAGCTGTTATTACTGGATCCTGAGTTGTCCTGTTAGACATAGAACGAGGAAATGTTTGAAATGCCTGAGATCTCTAAATCCAAACAATGTACCAAGTTCGCTTTATTGATTTTGCATATGCTTAACCAGTGGATATTGTTCTGCGTGTTCTGAGATGAGATTGTGGACAAAAATGGTGGTTGGTAATTCAAAACATGGAATGGACTAGGTCGTAATTGCTGCTGCCATGAGAAAATTTCCTTCCTGTGGTTAATGTAACTGACACAAGGAAAGCCTTTTTCCCAATGGATGAAAGGAGTGGCTAGCTCTAGTTGTTTTCTTTCTCTGTTTTCCTTGGACGGTAATCTTATTGGGAACCATGCCAATTTTCCCAAATTAGTTTTTTAACCCGGGCTGAGGACTTGCAGCATTTCTTAAGAAATGTTTTCCTTGGAAAGTAATCTTATTGGGAATCATGCCAATTTTTCAAAATTTGTTTTTTACAGCATTTCTTAAGAAGTGTTTTCCTTGGACATTTCTCTGAAAATCTTATGAAATATGTTCCTTGGACAGTAATCTTATTGGGACTCGTGCCAACTTTCCAAAAATTAGTTTTTTAACGTGGGATGCCAATTTTCCAAAATTTGTGTTTGTTGTGATTCTGTTTCAAACAATGTTTTAAGACCCAGTCCGGACCGGATGATCGGATCCTAAAAATCAGGAACTGGTGGCATTTCTAGGTCTCGGTTAAATGACGGTGTTGGCGGGTTGGATGGGCAAACTGCCCAGTTAATTGATAAAACTGGGACCCGGAGGGCATTTTGGTTTTTGCCCCGGTCTGAGTTTTAAAACACTGGTTTCTAATGATGTAGACAAGTATACGTGTATGTTGTTTTATAGTTTATTTAGGCTCAATTTAGGAGTATAAATACAAATATGTAGAGTGCAAAACCTTGTATTTTGTATATATTTGTATTGTACATATTTATATTTATACTCGTTCCAAACTGAGTCTTGGTACAAACATTATGTACTTTTTCTTATATGGGGTTATGTGAGGAAACATTCTGCTGTTTGTATTGTTGTGCTTTTGTTTCACCTATGTGGTGTCTAATGATGTCTAGTGGCACTTGTATCTACTAAAACACATAAATAATGATGCATCTTGCCTCATGCCTGCAATGTTTTTTACCGATTCTGATACAAATGCAACTAATACACAACACCATCATATCAAACATCACCTTAGAAAATAAAAACCTTCTTGTAGCTTCTTTTGTGGTCCGTTTGATTGTCGAGAAAGAATGGGATGAGAAAAGAATATATTTTTTCCCATTTTTGCATCCAGTGTTTGTTTCCTGAGAAACGGTATGATCAAAATTCATTTTCCTGTATTTGTTTTCTATGAAAATTTAATAGAAAACATATTAAACCAAGTCTGTCATCCTTTCTCACCTTTCTTCAATGGCATTGCATGGTCGACCACATGAATGTGTAAATTTGTCATGTGGCAACAATCATGGGGTGCATATAAGATATCGCAACCACATTCGACAAAATGATAACTATCATGTTCCATATTGTGCACAGTACTTGCTTACATTATATATTGTTTCTCATTTCATATAATATAAGATAATCATAGCTACTACAAGAAAACTAATAATGAAACATTCTAGCCTAGTTTTTTCTTCCACTGATTCGTTGTTTCAAGCATTATCTTGTGTAGAAGAGCATCCTTCCTCGGATTTAAGTTGATGTAGACTATTTGGTGTGGAAAATCTGTTTTGATACATACGGAATTGGTGTATAGCGTCTTCATATGTGGTGTACACGCAATAAATTGCTCCCCTAAATCAGTGTACCTGTGCATTGCACTCTGCCCATTTAAAGTACACTCCAGGGCAACGACCTTTGAAGACAACATAATATTTGGCCATTAAAACCTGTTTAAATCCATCTAGTGTAAGAAGCCACTCAACACATTCATCAACATTAAAACCTCTTCAAAACTTGTTCAAATCCATTTAAAGCTTGCCAATGCACTTGGATCTAACTAGCTAGTAAACAAACTAAACACCTATTCACTTGTTCAAAACCTGTTCACTCATGCAAGAAATTCATTCTTAGAACGAGTTATAACCTACAAATCATTCATTCAAGATCTAATAGATGAACACCTGCCAACCTATCCACATAACATATCATAATAGATCAAGGAAACTTGTTTAAATTCAGCCATCCAATTAATCATTCTCTCACCCATGCATGAGAGCTATTGGATCCCATAAAATGAGATCTTAACCTGTTAATCACACAGTTTAACACTTGTTCAAATCAAGCATTTTAAGATAAGCAAATATTGGTTATGTTTTCCATCATCACAAATTTTCAATGATTCATCTCCCAAAACATCAAGATTACTCCATCAAAGAAAGGTTCAGTTCAGTAGTGTTTCAAAATAAAAAAATAAAAAAAAAGGTTCAATCATGTCAAGTTTAAGTTGAACAATGTTTTCAAGAAAACATGTTTAATCATGGCAAGTTTTAAGTTTAGTCACTCAAGCCCAACTTCATTTTCCAACCATGCCTTCCTCAACCCCGAAGTCAATGCATAAAATGCTATTGCCCGATTTTTAGATTCTGACAAGTAGCTGATTGCCTTTATGACAAAGGTGGGGTTATGATCCCCCAAATTAAGTACATCATCGTAAATCTTCTCCTTCCTCAACAACCCAATCCCTTTCTCAACAACAGATGCTAGTGTCATAATGCTCACTGCGATCTCGTGGACCTCCTCAATAACTATAGCTGCACATGACTTCATCTACCCTAACCCCTTCCACTCAGCTAAGCTACCCTCCTCTAGTGGCTTGGCTTGAAGGGTGGAATCACCAACATTGTCACCCTCATCAGCCTCATCAAACACTGGTTCTTACATCCTTGGCATACTTGTTTCATTCATGGACATTGTCTCGTGCCTATTCATTTCTCTAGCAGTGAATGCCCCAGATGTAGTAACTTGATCATTCCCACACACTATGACAAGCTAGTCATAGTTGGTGATGGACTTCCTCCTAAATTGCTTAGCTTTTGGGTGCCCCTGTTCGTTCATTATAGATCAATCTAACAAGGTTGTATCTATTTTACATATTTTAATAATAAGCTTACATATCATATTAAAGTTTACCTGGATATACTCTGCCCAAACACAGGGTTCTACATCAAATGTTTGAAATGGTAGTGAAATTCTTCTTTATTGTTTTCATTCTATTTCTAATGTGACTGTGATTGCATTCCACTCCAAACTTATCACTAATCGCCTTTGCAGACGCATTGTATGTCGGGGCTTTAAAACTTTTATCAACTTTATAGCCAAGTGTGGCCTGCTCTACTAGAGTGTCAATCAGTGTATTGTCCATCTCAGCAATCCAGCTCATGTTAGACTTACTCATTCTTCCATCAGTTTCACTAAACTGTGTATCCATATCTAATTTACACCAAACAATCAACATCTCAAGTTATAGATCTAATGCAATCAACATATCTGAGACATTGAACAATATCTCGAGTACCCATATTTGATTCACACCAAACAATCAACATATCTGACAATTCAATCAAATCATAGCAACATTTGAGACATTCAACCATACATATAAATCAAGGTCTTTCATTCGAAATAAAACAATACCACCCATGTTAAAGTTAATACCACAAAGGTTTATAAAACACCCAAGGTAAAAAAAAAAAAAAAAAAAAAAAGATGTTTAATGATGGTGCCTCGATAAGTCACTTGGTAGTCTGCCCACATTTGGTTAGCTATCTCCTCTCTAAGACAGTGTCCTTCTCTCATAGACTCATTTCTACCAATGCATTGAAATGGCTAAGACACCTGAGTATCATCAAACACATCATCTGGCTCTGCCCCATCATCTACATCAGCATTCACACCTTTAGTTACCTCAACATGCAGACACAATCTTGACTTGTGTTTTGAATGGGTAGTGTTGCTTGGAAACTAGGAGTGGAAAACGTTTCTTAAGGACCCCAAAAATCTGCTCAACTGCATTTCAGAGCAAGGCATTATGTAGGTTAAGCATTTCTTTGGGGTTCTCAGGTTGATGCAAACCCCATTCCTTCAAATGGTATCTTGTGCTCCAATATGGGGTTAAGAACTCAGCCTTGAGAAAAAAAACCCACATCTACCAGGTAATATTTACCTACGTAAAATACAAGAAAGTGGTTAGATACCAATTTCCACATTTACACTTGAATTGGCCCCCATGGATATGTAGTAGTACCTTGTGGGACTTGTAGTTTGTGTTCCCTTGTTAATGCACAGTTTAGCATGCGGGAATCTGATGTAGCTCCCTCCCATCTAGGTAAAACATATGTGAAAAGCAAGTTAAACGAACATGCAGCAAGGATATTTTGTGTGGGGTAGGACTTCCGACCACAGAATCTAGCTACATTTGACAGTGGAACCTTTATGGGTATATGTGTCCCGCCAATTGCCCCAACATAATCCTACCAAGCAAGTCATACAGTTTGTATTTATTATATGATTCATAACCTATAGATTTATTACAAATTAACACCATAGTTACCTTAAAATATGTCCAAAAGTCTTGTCGGTTTCTAATCTTAGGTGGTGTGTTCGTGCCACTTGGTTGAGCTAGGTATCTATCCTCTAAACTGAGAAGTGCATCTAACACCAAATTGAAATGGCAACTAATTGTCTCTCCCGATCTACTAAAGTGAAATCCCATAGTTCTATTATGTGCTAAAATATGCAAGAATTTAGCAACTTGTTCTTCTACACTAGTCCTCAATGTATCGTGGAGTCGTCTGATCTCCCGTAAAATTTTGCAAAGCCTGTAAAAGGCTTCTTTACCCATTCTTAACTGGTTGTAGCTATCAATCTATCTCCCCCTATACAACTGATCTAGTAGATCTTGTCATTGCAAGTCTCGGTTGACAGAAGGTCCCCTATCAACATAGTCTAACCACTCTTGAACAATGGTCAATGCAACTACAACTCCACTAGTTGCAGCTCTAACAATTGCAATCAACATTTCATTATGCATCTATGAGAATATAAAAAATGGATGATATAATAAAGGGGAAGAAAAGATAAACAACTATTTATTGATATAGGATGCATGAACTGGGAAATGATTAATTTATTTCAAATGATTTGGCTTAAACAGAAAGATAATATATTTATTTTGAAGAAATGCTAGGTGCACTTAAGTAACCAAAGAGTAGGGCTGTAATTGAATTAGATATAACCACATCAGGATCTTGAAGCCTAACTTGAATTAGACTTGAACCTATGATTCATTTTATAAACATACAGCATTCAAGCAAGATGAATGCTTGAAAATAACTTGTATTAGACTTGAACTAATAGCCACCACTGTTAGCAACCAGCAGCACTAACACAACATAAAATCTGTAATTACTAAAGAAAAAAGAAAGAATAGTCAATCCATAATCAATCCCCATAAGAAATGAGAACAAGAATACTCAATCCATACAATCCAAAATAAACTCATGTCTGTTTGATTACAGCGTGAAGATTCCGAGATCAACATTATATAAACTGATCAAGTTACCAAGTTCAAAGAGCAAGCATTCATGCAAGTTTAATCCAAATTGGTGAAATTACCATTATAAAGAAAAAAAACAGGGTAGTGAAATATTTGGGGAACAAGAATTAGAATAAGAATGCATGAATTTTGCATTCATGCAAGATTCTAAGATCAATATATATAGAAACTGATTAAGTTAACATTCATGCAAGTTTATTCCAAATGGATGAAGTGTAAAAGAAAAAAAAAAAACACACACACACACACACAAAATCTCATATCCGAGTTCAACTGAAACAAAAAAAAATGTTTGAATCAAAAGATATATTACCGTGCCAGAGAACAAGGTCTAGATCTGGAACAACCATATTCCAGAATCCAGATATGGAGATTATGCGAATAAACTCAAATGACCATGGTTAGAAGCTAGATCTGGTTCAATCATGCCAAATCTAAGCCTACCTTTGTCGAGAACGCTGGCGGTGAGGTCTAGATGACCACAAACGGATGGAGCCAGCGGTGAGATTTCAATGGCCACCCATCAAATGGAGATAGTGTCGGAACTACACTTACCATCCAACGGGAACACCAGAGATGACACCGGAGATGTGACCATTGGATGAGAAAAAGCGAGGCAACGATGTCTATGAGAGGGCTCTCGACAAAATTTTCTCGCCTTTTTTCCTTTCTCAGCGGGATCTCACCAAATTAGTGTGACCCACCCGCATCCCTGGTGTTTCCTTTTCTTTCCCGGGTTTTCATTTGAAACAAACATACAGAAAAAATAATATCCTTCAAATACGCTTCCTTTCCCATCCATTTTTCGGAAACCAAACGCACCATTAGGGGAAAAAAAAAAAGCACCATTGGAATGGCGGAAATGGACTGTTATTAGGAAGCCATTTTTTATGGTTCAGATCTCAGCTTTTATTTGATGCATGACTGAAGCCATTTTTGATGGTTCAGATCTCAGCCTTTATTTGATGCATGACTGTACTGGGCATGAATTTTTTAGAAATTTCCATGCATTACTTGAATGGCGGAGATTTAATACGTAATTCCACAGCTGGAAACACAGCTTGAGTTTACAGGACTCGACCTCAGATCTGAGAGTCATACTACACAAAGCAAGAAATTTTCATCAACAAATAATTTGACCTTGTCAAATGAACCTTTGGTAACAACCATCCAACTGAGAGGTGTTAAGAAATTTGAAAGGAATGCACCATTCACAGAAGGTGAGTAAGCTTAACTACAACAGTCCTGTATCACCAAACACTAGGACCAGTTATTAGGGGTTGAATGAGACATGAAATTCATCTTCGTTATAGCAAGGCAGGTATTGGTTTATAAATTTGTGCTGATGCAAAACCATGGTAGTGCTAATGATTTGAATGTAAATTCTGACCTATTTTTGTTTCAAATTTTAGGCTGCACATTTTTGACCTATTTTTGCACTCTGGTTCACTTTTACATATGTTTGGCAATATTACATTTTTGCATTGACAAATGACAGACTAATGCATATTTACATTGATAATAAGATGTAAAAGTACATCAATAAAATAGAAGTAAATTTGCATTCAAGTGGGCTTTTGATAAAAAAAAAAAAAAAAGCATATGCTTTATTGGAATTCATGCTTGCATCCATTACAGCTAAAAGTCTATTTGGTAAAAAGATAAATATGTCAATGCAAAGCTAACCCAACTTTGCAATTTATATGAACTGTTGTACACTCTACATATTTGCATCGTTTTCAAATGCAGCCTTAGCTTATTTTGTTTGATTGCAGTACAAATTAAGACATGAAACAGAATAAAATAAAATCCAAAACAAAATTAAACCGGAATTTGCATTTTTTTTTTTTTTTTTACATTTGAACTCCCATGCATTTGTACTAGTGCAAATAAAATTGCACTGCAACCAAACACAGCCTAACGACTATCCTGATGCCAGTGGGTATTAGCAAATTTAACTGGACCATTTAGTTCTCTGAAAGAAAGACATGCCCTATTATAAATAAGCATGAGAAAGAGATAAGTAGCAGGAACCCTTCTAATGTGCAGTTATTGCAGTCTAACCTAGCAAAGTAGATATGCCTTTAGAAGAGAGCTTGTTATCCATGTAGAGACCCAAGCAAGGATGGTTCATGGATCAAAACTGCCCAAGATTTTATTATTACCCTGTGCAGTTAACCCATGTCACATAAAGGCACATTTTATTATTACAGATTTTTCTTGTTTTTTTTTTTATTTGAGTCCTATTATGATACCAAAAAGGCATGATATATGGAAAACTGGAACTCACATCTCCGCCCCACAACGTCCCACAGCACATCCTCGTCGTGTATTGGGAACATTTTCCGATGATGACATCATCGATTCTGGTACTATCATCGGGAGATGTTCCCAATATACGGCGGAGATGTGCTGTGGGACATTGTGAGATGGCCCCTTGGGGGCGGAGATGTGTACTCGGAAAACTGATAACCAATCAACTAGTATCATAGACATGGTAACCAATCAAATGGGGAGGGGGTTCTAATTGGTCAAAGTTATTCCAGTATCATACCCTTCTGACCACCATCAACCTTTAACCCTGAAAATCAATTCATATATATAGGTTTCTTCGAGATACTAGGAGCTTCGAACCTAAGTTCTAGAGAAAATTGAACTGAAATTGTTAGGTCAACCCAGTAATGGTTATTGTTCTGAACTGAACTTCTATATGGTATGCCTTGCTGATGACTTACTAGTTCTGTTGGCCACTCAGTATCCTTCCTCGCCCTATTAACTAGGTCTAGCTTATGGCACCCGACCCCTATGGCGGCCAAAGTTGTATCACATACACCAAAGAAAAAGAGCATGGCATGTCTTGAACTGTGCATACTGCACAAGTAGGAGAAAAAGAAGAAAGGTTTTGAGAGTGGTATAAATGGAAGAAAAAGTTTCCTTTTTCCCAAGCAACCACTATAAATAAGGTTGTGTTTGGTGTCATTGTTGTTTTTTTGGTTGGTCAATATAAATTAGCATACAATTATTATTTGAGGCTCTTTATGGTTGAAATAGGTGTATTTCAAAATGCATGTGGGAGAAGCTGTTTCTAAAAGTATCAAATTGGTGTTTCTTGCTCCCAAGGGTGAAGTCTAATGATTCTAGCTGAAATGACTCTCACATGTGATGTGACAACACATATCTCTCACTATGTATTGATCAACCCAAAATGTTTCAAGTATAAACAGCAATGGTGCCAAACACAACCTAACAGTGTTTTAGATGCCACTTAGCAGTTATTCATCAACTCTTTCTCTCGGTATAATCATTTCTTGGATGAAAGAGAGCATGAAAATATGGAAGTAACCATTTCTCATGAGACCATCTACAAAGTGCTTCATACCAATACCAAGTTACCAACCATCTTCCGGCACCTTTTTATTTACAAATTTAATGTTGAATTTTGAAAAGACAATCAACTAATAATGTAAAAGAAGAGGACTGCATTAAATGAAMCCCAGCCACAAGTAATGGATTCTCTTTGCAATTAGAATCAGCAGGTCCTATAACATATTACTTGACATAGACAAATTTCAATAGTAGTGATTTAGCTTTCCTGAAGATCTTGTTTGATCTAAAATAGGGGTGACCCTGGGCGAGGCTTAGCACCTGTGACAAGGGCTATAGCCTGGGCTGGGGTCCAGCCTGGCCCTGGTTCCGGGCTTGGAACGTAAGCCTGGGCCCAGGCTGAAAATGATCGCCCCTAGTCTAAAAGTATTCCCTATCTATGTCTATGCATATTTACATTGCTAGTCAGTGGTCAACTGGCTCAGTTTGCAATTCTCTTGATGATTGCTTCCTCATGAAGCAGTAAGAAGTATATATGCTACAAGAAGAGCTATTTTGGTTGCTCTTGTTCTTATTCTTCCTCATCACCAGACAACAAATAAATGTCAGGTTTATATCCTACCCACTTCATCTCTCTAATCAATTCGTCCAGCCGTTCATATATCTGCTACAAGAAGAGCTATTCTGTTTGCTCTTGTTCTTATTCTTCCTCATCACCAGGCAAAAAATCAATATCAGGTTTATATCCTACCCACCTCATCTCTCCAATCAATTCATCCAACCGTTCATATATCTCTGTGTAGCTTGGATGAGACTTATCACCCACAAGAAATGTATGGACCTCATTTTTTACCTCAATCCAACTACAACCAGGTTCCTTCTTCAGCCCACTATGCTTCATAATCCTCCTCATCTTTGAAACCTCATCCCACATTCCAGCTTTGGCATATATATTCGACAAGAGGATGTAAGCAGCAGAATCTTGGGGATCCAAACAAAGAATAGAATGGGCTGCCTGTTCTGCCACCTCTACATTCCCATGAATCTGGCAAATGCTAAGGAGGTTTCTCCATATAATAGCATCAGCTTCAAATGGCATCTCATTGATGAGTTTTAAAGCCTCATCAACCTTCCCTGACTTCCCAACTATATCAACCATGCATGAATAATGCTCTAGCTGAGGATCTAATCCATACTCATGAAGCATTGATTGGAAGTATCGCAGGCCTTCCTCAACCAGGCCCACATGCCCACAAGCTCGAAGAACTGCAACAAAGGTTGCATGATTTGGTTTTACATTTTCAACCTGCATCCTTTCAAATATCTTCAGTGCCTCTTCACCAAGACCATGCTGTGCATATCCTGTTATCATGGCATTCCATGAGACAAAGTCTTTCTTGGGCATCTTTTCAAACATCAGTCTGGAGTCCTGCATGTTTCCACACTTTGAATACATATCCACAAGAGTGCTGGAGATGAATACATCTGATTGCATTTCCTGCTTGATAACTTGTGCATGGACCTGTCTCCCAAGTCCAATAGTTGCAAGATTTGCACAAGTATCAAGAACAGTAGCATAGGTAAAGTTATCAGGCCGTAACCCTGTATCTAACATCTGACAAAAGAACTTTTGGGCTTCCTCACTTTGTTTCTGCAATGAGAACCCTGATATAATTGCATTCCAAGAAACAATCTTTTGATTATCTATCCTGTCATGGAGCTTGCCTGCTTCTTCCATCATACCACATTTGCAGTACATGTCAACAAGAGCACTTCCAACAAATAAGTCTACACCCAACCCAGACTTGATAATTCTGTTATGGATCTCCAGTCCATAGTTCAGAGCTTCTAAACTAGCACATGCCTTTAATACACTGCCATAGGTAAATTCATCAGGTTCCATCCCTGAATGGAGCATCCGACTGAATAGCAAAAGGGTATCTTCTTCATGCTCGTTCTGCTCATAAGCAGCAATAATTGCATTCCAAGATACAGCATCTAATCTCTCCATCTCATCATATACACTACGTGCTTCAACCAGAGCTCCACATTTACCATACATGTCCAAAATTGCATTTGCTACACAGATATTAGACTCAAAATTACTCTTAATTGCTAAACCATGTAATTGAACCCCCTCTAACAACCCTTGGATCACTGCACATGAACTAAAAGCACCAGAGAGACTTATCTCATCTATACCAATGCCAGACCTCTGCATAAGTCGAAACAGTTGCAATGCTTCAAAACCTAGATCACCCCGTGCATAGCCAACAATAATGGCATTCCATGACTGCAAATTATGGTGTGAAAGTGAGTTAAACATCCTTCTAGCATCTGTCAAGCAACTGCATTTTGAATACATATCCAAAATAGCCGTCCCCACTATGACATCAGATCCAAAATTATTCTTTAAAGCATGGCCATGCATCTGAGAGCCCAATCTCAAAGACGATATCCCTGCACACAACCTAAAAGCACTAGCATAAATAGACTGGCTAACCTCAATGCCTGCTCGCTGCATCTCCTTAAACAGTTCTAAGCCGTCAATGAGCTGGTCATTTTGAACATAACCTGCAATCATCGTACTCCAAGAGACCTCATTCCGTTCAGGCAATTCTTGAAAAACCTGATGCGAGTAAGTCAATTTCTTACATTTGGCATACATATCCACAAGGGCACTTCCTGCTACAACATCGGAATCAAAACCCATCTTAACAGCAAGGCAGTGAATCTGAATCCCGAGATCATAATCCTCCAAGGATGAACACAAACTGAGAATAATGGCGAAGGTGGTACGATCTAGTTCCATGCCCATTTGTCCCATCATCTGCAAGAAGAAAATGATTGGTTCTCGATAATTACCATTCCGCAAGTAGCCTGAAATTAAAGAATTCCAAGAGATTACATCTCTTTCGGGCATGGAGTCAAAGATGGACTGGGCAAGATCCATGGAACCACACCCAGCATAACCAGATATCATAGCGTTCCAAGAAACCGTATCGCGTTGAGGCATCCGCTCGAACACTTTGGAAGCATAATCTATATTCGAGCACCTGATGTACATGTTGATCAAACAGTTGGTAACAAAGACGGTGGGACTGAACCCAGATGTTATCATCTGAGCATGAGCCTGTTTCCCTGCATCTAACAATCTCAGGTTTGAGCATTCTTGATAAATATGAGAGAATGTTTTCTTCTTGATGGGGGTCGCGGAGAACGTATTGAAGGGAAGACTTCGATATAGAGGTTTTGGCGAGAAAGAGAAGAATCTGGTTAGAGAGAGGTAAGGGATGAAAAGTGCCATGCCTCTGGTTACAAGTCATGTTGTCTTGGGATCACCGACCGTTGAGAACAGTTGGGGCTTTGAAACTCTGTTGTTTGATACCGAGTAGTGTCCACGAATTGCTTAGTCAACAATCGTCCGATTTGCTGTTCCAGCATCTTCCTACTACTTAACTAGCTGTAGCCAATAACTCCTGTTGCTCCCTTATCCTTTGACAGCCGTTTTCTAGCCCTCGTTTCGTGCCTCACCATGACGATTATCGTCCTACTCTCCTACTAGAGCGAGCTGAAAAGAACCGTACAACAGCGCTTCTACTCTCTTATTATATACAATTATTATATTTTAATTATCATATCAATTATTTTATATTTATTATTTTTATCTTTAAATATTAACAAAAAAACTAAATATTAATTTTCAAAATATTCGATAAATAATATTTTTTATTTTTATAAATAATAAATATGTTATTATAAAATATAAATTAATAATTTATAAAAATATATAATCTTAACTTAAAATATATCAAATTTGTTAAAATCTATAAGATATATATCATGTATAAATTCATAATTTTTAATTGATAAAATAATTATTTCATCATTAATATTTTCATTTATGTATTTTTTTTAAATAAGAAAACATTTTTATGTAAATGTAAATTAGTGGATTTGATAGATTAAATTTAACTTATATTCTTGAATATTTTGTAAGCAATTGTTTTGTAAATAATAAATATGTTGTCATTTGATGTAAATTAAATTATTAATTAATAATTTATAAGAATATATAAAATTTTAAGATACATATCATGTACAAATTTATAAATATTAAGTACTAAAATAAATATTATATTATAAATATTTTATTTGTATAAATTTATTGAGGGTAAGCATCAATTTTTGATATATATGTAAATTTGATGAATTGCTTATTCCATTAGTGTTTATAATATACTAATTTTAATATTATTGTTTTTAATTTTAAATTAGAGTTCTTAAACATAAATATATGGTATTTATTTAGATTGCATATTAACAATAAGGTTTATAAAATTTATTTTATTTCATTTATTATCATAGGTTGTAGAGTGGCCTAGCATCTCAACACAGTAGGTGTTAAGAGACTTGGGACTTTAAGTTAAATCACACTGGTTACTAAGTACAAAGGAACATGTTTGTGCCAATTAAGGTTGCAATTGAATCAAGTTTGAATCTTTAGGTAAGATTGATTAGTTATTTGAACTTGAGTTCAATTAATAAAAAGTTAAACTCGAAAGCTAGTAAGATTGGTTCAATTAACATATACATGCATACATATATATTATATAGAATATAGAAAAAATACATATTTTATAATATATTATGAATATAAGAATATACCATATAGAAATATTCATAATATTTTATATTTTATATAATATAAAATACATACATTTTCGAACATTTGAACTTGACTCGAGCTTATCGAATATTTATTACTGAATTAAGATAGAGTTTGAATCGAACTCAAACTCAAAATTGAGCTTAAAAGAATTTTAGTCAAACTAAGCCATGAGATATAAATGTTTGTCTCATCTTGCCTTGATTGCACCTTAGTGCTAGTCATAAATAGGGATGGCAATTTCTCTCGTAAAACCGGGGCCTCACCCCGCCCCAAATTGGGGACAGGGCGGGGATGGGTTTTGTATATAATTCCCCGAACCCGAAGGTAAAATTAGTAAAACATTTATAGGTTTAACATTGATATTTAAAATATCTCTAAGTTTTTCCTAAATTCTTAAAATCCTAGAATCCAATAATTCTATTTTTTAAGTACCCCCAAAGTATTATAATTCAATTCCTAAAATACCCCTAAATTCCTATATTATGTGTAAATTATCCATAAAAAAAAATAATTTTTAAGAAATTACCTTTGAGTGGGGAAAATTCGAGGATTACCCATCCTCGACGGGGAGTGGATGCCCCACCCCACCATCAGGATGGGGCGGGGATGGGGCAAAGTATCTTGACTTCGAGGTGGTGACAGGGAAGGGGTGCCCCACCCCAAACCCACCTCGTTGCCATTCCTAGCCATAATGTATCTTATCCTATTTAAACCTTGGTGATACCAACACAACTTTTGCTTTTAGGTGATCATATTTGAATCTTGTTTAGTAAGCTAATTAGGTATAAGCATCTTGTACATTTTCTTATGTCAAGTGATGTAAAATTCTCTTTCAAAGGATAACATTCAGGGTGTTTGGAACCATGGGCATTTATAAAATAAACGTTGTCATATAGGCACCACTTCAGCATTTCCCCCACTATGTGAATCTATATGCAAAGGGACTTGCAAAAATAGACTTCAGTTTATGTGCACACCTACCACTGGGGGAAGCTTTATTTTATTCACTATTTTGCTAATATAGCACCTAAGTGTCAAAAAATGAATTCATTATAACTTTTATCGACTTTCCAAACAAACCAAAGTATAAAATGTTTAATTAATAAACATCCACAATTCCAAACACATACATTATCTGATATTTCCATTTATCCTATGTGGTGATTAATGGCGTCTAGTGTCACTTATGTGTAATAAAACACTAAGGCCCCGTTTGGTTCGCAGGAATAGGGGTCTGGAATCGGAACCGGAGTGGGCTATTCCGATTCTAACTATTTGGTTGGATGGAATCGGAGTCCCATTTCCTGTTCTTGTTGGAATGGCATTTTCCCATTTGAGGGAATGGCCATTCCTTGCCCCTCTCTTGGGAATAAAATCCCATTATTGCTGATATTAATTATCATTCCCATTCTTGTTTGAACCAAACAGATTATGGGAATGGACCATTCCGATTATGATTTTGGAGGATTTCGATTCTAATTCCGATTCCAACTATGAACCAAACAAACCCTAAATACTGTCCCATCCGATTCCAATTCCGACGAGGATAGGGCAAGGATTGGTTTTGCATGCCCCATGCCTGACCCTAAAATTAAATATCATGTTCAATCCTTGCCCTGTACTCCAATTAGGCTACAAATCTCAACCCCATTCAAATTTGAATGATAATTTAAAAAAAAAACTTGATTTAATCTTTTAAATTAAATAATAATTTTATACACACAAAACTAATAAAATATTAAGCTAATTTTACGACAGTGTTAAAACCAATTTCTTTACTTATTAGTTATTAGAATACATAAATAAAAAAACTAGAATATGGGAGTCGTTGTATAGTATTATGTAATTTAGGCGGTGTTTGCTATTGGTCATCTCATGGGATGACCACAACGTTTTGGTGTGGTGTGGACACCACGGGATGACCACAACGTTTGGTGTGGTGTGGACGGGATTGGTTCACAATATATCGTGGACTGGCCCTACCCATAACTCAAAATCTATTCCACTCATTTATCTCATGGCTGATTTTGGTCCCCAATGTTTTAACAATTCAGGGGGTGTTTGTAGTGGATGAAAAATTGGTGGGTGTGGATTGGTGTACACCACACCTTGTGTCAGGGACAAATCTATACCACATCACAATCCATAGTTGTTTTGAAATGTGGGCAAATTGTGTGGATTGGATCCACACCACAGCTTTTGATTCCATGTATCCCATATACATTTTATGAATGATCTACACAATTAATCATAAATATCTAATTTTTGCATTTTATATGATAAATATATTGAAAAAGGCATCAATGAATTAATATTAACCAATAAATATTAGTTTTTATAAAAACAATAGTAAAATAATTTAAAAATTAAAAAAGATGTTTTAAATATTTAAAAATATTATTTTATTGATAAAAACATTTGAAAATAAAAAAATAAAACATTAAAAAATTAAGTAAAATAATTAATATTTTTAGTGGCAAAGATATTAAAAATAATATTTATAATTAATATCTTATTAAAAAAAAGTAAAATAATTACAAACTGGATGGATGCAATAAGAACATAAAAACAAACGATCGATTGTTTAGGATTTAGCATCATTCAACAGCTAAGAGGGAAACACAGTACTATTCGCACAATAAAGAAGGATTGCATCAAGAGGGAAACATAGTACCGAGGATTTTCGGATGTAGATCTAACATTTTCCAAGAACAACACTTGACATTGTGAGTTTCTTAAAGAATCAAGATGGAGCTTTGGCAAGTGGACCAATGGAGGAGAGTTGCAGTGGTGGAGAGCTTCAGCGGGCAGTGGAGACCTCCAACAATAAAGGGGATGTTTGGAACCGTGTCCGTTTTTCAAAAAAAATAGTGCCACGTCGGATCCACATAGGCGTTTCAACTGATTATTAAAAGATCGGGCATGCCTCAAAAATCGGGACCCCACTGATGCATCGGTGAACTGATTCCTCCAACGGTTGACTTATGTTATCCTATGTGGTGCTTACTTGTCAAACACATGCATGAAAAACAATGATGAAAATCACATTACCAAACAGTATAGTATTGCTCACTGCCTACATGGCAGAAGCATTTTTTTGTGAAAAACGGGTCTCGGAAACATTGACGTTTTTTCTTGAAAATCGGTCCCAAAAAATGCCCACACTTCCAAACACCATGAAAATGTAAAGCAGAGGATAAAAAAATTACGTGTGGACGGACCCTAATCACGATATTTTGCCATTTTTGCTAAATTGGAGTGTGGAAGGGACCAGTCCACGATATAGTGTGGACCATATCGTGGACCGGTCCCGTCCACATCCAGCCAAATAGGTGTTCATCCTATGGAAGGACCGGCGAGATGAAGAACCAACCGAACACCACCTTATTATTGATAAATGATAAGATACATCACACCTTTCTTTTTTACCCTACAATTTTACCTGAAGCTTTTCTCCATCGCCTATGCTACACTGCAAGGGTAAGAAGACGTCTATCCACTACCACTTTCCTCCATCAGCCGAATTGATATGTCATCTCTTTAATGTTAAAACAGACAAGTATTGTTTGATCTTTAATGCAGAACAAAAAAAAACTCTCTTTTCCCATTCGATTGTTGAAACAAACACAAATGATTTATTGATGCTATGCTTGTCTTGTAATAATTTTTTATTTAGCTTGTTTAAATATTAATTTTTAATGTTTTTATTAATAAAATAATAATTTTTATAATCAATATTAAATTTTAAAATTAATATTTATTGATTAATAATACATTTTTCAAATTATTTACTATATAAATTGTATAATTTAAACATTTATAATGGACTGTGAAGATCACCAACCACTATTTCCAAACATTCTTTGCATTTCATATCAATCATTTAATCCTCATCCCATGTACCTAGCTGTAACGGGTTAGCTACATGAACCATTCCATTCTGTTCAATACAAGAAATAAAAAGATGTTAACCTTGTATGAGCTGCGAGCCCGCGACAAAACTTTGTTCAAATGTATGGCGAAAGTAAACCGTATTTAATTGAGCTTCATACTGTCTCTGTTCATCAGAATCAATTCGTCGTCTTACCGTCTGAACCGACTTGCCAAAATCACGTCTCGTTGACGGTGGAGAAAGCTCGACGCGTTGCTCTGTTGCTGGATTGCATATATAACATGTGTAACTGAATCTTCCCCACATGTCCAAATGCCTACTTTCGCCCCCGCTGGCGACGCACAGTTGGCCAGTACAGGCATGTACCCCCTGACCCCTCCTCTACGTTAGAGTTAGAGTTAATTAGGTGCATCGGAGACGGGGAGCGGGGGATGAAGGAGAGACGTTCATCGAGGGGATGAGGGAACCGCCAACTTTCATCGATGGTAAGATAAAAAGAACATTAAAAAGAACATTGGATCCTTGATGGATGCCATTGTTGAAACAATAATCCTTATACACAGCATCGACATTCCGGCAGGAATGTGTAAAGATGAAGCGGGAATCAGAGATGAGCGAATTCCATCGTTTGCAGGCGGTCTTGAATCTCAATAGTCAATAACGACCGAGCTCAGTAGCCGACGAGAGAGGACCTCGAAGATCGGTTTCCTCTTCTTGGATCATATGCATCTAACAGCACTGGAAGGGAAGCAGGTTGACAATGTGCTTCGTCTAGGGTTTGTACTGAAAATTGAATTTCATCAATTTTTGCGTTACGGGCTGGACACAAATGGAATTTAAAAGTAATTATGTGACTAATTTACCCTTAATCATTTGCCATAATTACAACAATGACCTTAAGGGTATCATGGTATTGTACCATCGTTGGTGCTGGGGTTCGTTTCTTGTTAAATCGGTTGGTACTTGGAAGCCGGGAGTAAGGCCGTAAGGGTATCATGGTATTGTACCATCGTTGGTGCTGGGGTTCGTTTCTTTACTTGTCCCGCGAACTCCCGCGAAAAACGAATCGTGTTCCCGCCAAAACAAAAACCCTAATCCTTAGTCCTATAAGAGAAATACCAGAAGAGAAGAACTCGAGGGAAAAAACCAGGAACTTGAAGGAGAAGCCGCCATGAAAGTTAGAACGGTGAAGCTCAAGGAAACTCACAACAGTAATGGCGTCAGCTCGTTCTGTTCTATTCTGTGGGATCTTAAAGCTCAGCATCTCGTCACTGCTTCCGCTTCGGATTCGTCAATCTCCATCCACGATCTCTCTCAGCCTTCCAAGCCCCCGAAGATTCTTCGTCATCACAAGGATGGTGTTACTGCGTTGGCTCTCAGTCCCAATTCTACATGTCTGGCTTCTGGTTCCATCGATCATTCTGTTAAGCTGTACAGATTTCCAGGTACTGCCGTGGTTCTTGGTCTACTATTAGTCCAATATGCGTAAGTCCTCTTTGTGGTTTTAATTTTCTTGGATTTGTTTCGGAAATTAGAGCTTTTGATAGTTTATTTAGAAACCGGCAGTTGATAAAAAAACTCATCAAAGGAATATCATAAGTCTTACATACAATGCTGGCTATGTGTCCATTGGAGGACTCCCATCCTATCTTGGTTGTTAGTTAATTGTATGTCAGCAGTATGTGCCGCATGACATTTTCTAGAAACTCCCTTAAATTGTTAAAAACTGGCCTAAGCTACTGATTATTTCTTGGGCGAGCATCTTCAGAAATGTGAATTTTCGTATCTATCAAAAAATGTTATGAATCTTCATGTTCAATTAACATCTCTCTAGTGCTTATAGCAAAATTAACATCACTCATGTGTTTTGTGCCCTTGTGGTCTTTCATTTATTATATTTTGGTCAGGTGGAGAGTTTCAGACCAATATAACCAGGTTCACATTGCCGATCCGAGCCCTTGCTTTTAACAAATCAGGTAGCATGTTAGCTGCTGCTGGGGATGATGAAGGAATTAAATTAATTAACACCATTGATGGTTCAATTGCAAGGGTTCTCAAGGGACATAAAGGGCCTGTTACTGGTTTAGCCTTTGATCCCATCAGCGAGTACTTAGCATCAGTTGACTCTATGGGGACTGTTATATTCTGGGAGCTATCTTCCGGGAAAATACTACATACACTTAAAGGAGTAGCTCCTGATTTAGATTCAGAGACTTCTGTGTTAAACATGCTGAGCTGGAGCCCTGATGGTGATATCTTAGCTGTTCCAGGTTTAAAAAATGATGTTGTTATGTATGACAGAGATACAGCTGAAAAGTTGTTTACATTGAGAGGTGACCATGGGCAATCAATTTGTTTCTTGACATGGTCACCCAATGGAAAATATATTGCTACTTCTGGTTTGGATAGGCAGGTCTTGATCTGGGATGTTGATCGCAGGGAGGACATTGATAGACAAAAGTTTGATGATAAGGTGTGTTGTATGGCATGGAAGCCAAATAACAATGCTTTGGCTGTTATTGATGACATGGGGAAATATGGAATGTTGGAACCCGCTGTTCCTTTGTCAATGAAATCTCCTACGGATGGTGCTCCAAATTTACATGCAAAGAACAGCAATGGACTCCTTTTGTTTGATGAAGATGAACAAGAGCTTAGTGTTTCAGGTAGTTTAAGTGATGCCAGTGAGGGTAGTCTTGGTGAGTCTGAACCAGTTAGCAGGAAAAGATTGAAGAAACAGTCCATACTTGAAGATGAAGACATAGACAATGGTGATCAAGTGGCCTCGCCACCTAAGATTGAATCACGTAAAAGAGCTCACAGTCATAAAGAATGTCTAGAGGATAATATTAAGGGATTTAGTGGAATATCTTCTGCAAGGCCAAAAATGCAGGAGGCTTTTCAGCCAGGCTCCACAGCTGTGCAGGTCGGGAAGCGGCGCTTCCTATGCTATAATATGCTTGGAAGTATAACCACAACGGAAAATGAAGGGTATTCTCACATAGAGGTAATTAGATGATACTGTACCTTTCTTCTCATCGTGCAATCTCCTTTGTTAGTTAGAAGGAAAAAAGTTAAACTTCCATGGATCATTGTTTTTGATATACTTGATCTTTGCACACTGCATATATAGTATCTTAAGTGATTGACCTCCATAAGTTTATACTTGAGCATCAACAGTAGCCTACTACTTGACCCAGGAAGTATATATTTTGATTATTTAATGTCTCTATGACCATTCATGATGCCTAGAATGTATTGGAAGATTCACTTCTCAATGTTGATATGCTCAAAATGTCTATTTACAAAAGTGTTCAAAGAGGTGGAGAGTGGAGACATGATCCATGTTCTTAGAATCTTTTAATGGGTGAATTATAAGCCTCGAGGCTTGAGACTAACTTCATTATGCCACTCTTTCACAAAAAAACCATGAACTAAGAAAAGTTACAGAACTACGTGCAGGCAGATAATTTTATTTAAGAAGAATGTATTTGATCTATTAACAGTCAACAAGTATCATAAAGTGCTAAGAATTTAAAAAACTTATTGAATTCTAACAAATAATAAAGACACTCATGCAAGCAAAATTCCAAATAGGTGTTAAAAACCCTTAATCTATTTAAAGATATCATAAGCATAAGTGGAAATTTTAGAAAGTCTTTAAATCAGCCTCGTTATAAGAACATTACTTCTGTTAATATATGAAACACATGTTTTTGACACAAGGCACCTTAAGGACTGAGGCATGTGCTTGTACTTGGGTTCCTTTACAAGAGTGTTGGGTCATGTTGGGTACTTCATTGTTAGTGTAACTTTCATTTCACTGTCTCGAGCCATGTCCTTGCCATATCCAGGTAAGATTAGTACTTATACTTGCAGGTGTGCCTCAAGGTTAAGCCTCTGGACATTTTTCGTTAAGCATTGCTTAAGGATGAACCTTAAAGCATGGGCCCCACAGACTGTTTAAAACATTGATCTAGAAATTGAAAGGCCTTATAGCAGTCTTTTACAGTAAACTTCATTAGGATCACCACCCTCACTGGGCTATGAAGAGTTTACAATGTTTAGTGGACTTCATGAAGCTTTTTTCATAATGAAGAGATGGGATTTCAAGACTTTACTATATATGGAAATTCCTTCTACTTCATCTCCAAAACTTTGGAGATAATTCCCATAAGCAGGCACATGCATTCTACACATGTTCATTGTAGCCCAGGTTAGTGAAGAATTTTGTTGTCTGTGCTTTGTTCAAAGCTGCTTTATTTTGTCTTATGTTTTATGCTAAGTGTTCTGAATGTCCATGTGGTATAGGTAGATTTTCATGACACTGGGAGAGGCCCAAGAGTTCCTTCAATGACTGATTATTTTGGTTTCACAATGGCTTCATTGAATGAGAGTGGAAGTGTTTTTGCGAATCCATGTAAGGGTGAAAAGAACATGAGCACTCTCATGTATCGTCCATTCGGTAGCTGGGCAAATAACAGTGAGGTTTGCTTCTTCATTTTCTCTTCAGAGGTTTCCTGATTAATGTTTACATTTTTGCATGTTTTGTACATTAACACAGTAATGCCATTGCGCCTAAGCACACATAGCTGATTGTTTTGATTGATTCCTCTTGATAATGTTCAACATAAACTGAGTTTGAATAAGTTTTTTGAACTTAGTGGTCCATGCGATTTGAAGCAGAGGAAGTGAAGGCTGTGGCCTTAGGTACTGGTTGGGTAGCTGCCATTACAAGTCTTAATTTTCTTCGCATCTTCACTGAAGGTGGCTTACAGGTTTGTGATATGGCCTTTATTGACTTTTTTATGGTGTTAAATTTTTCTTCCACCCTATTTAGCCATTCATTGCAGCTCTATTGGGTGATTATGACATTATGCATTTTCTCATTTTCGGATGTACCTTTTCATTATAAAATTCTTGGTCTTTGTTCTAAGACACTTCCAGAGGAACTTTAGTCACACCTTTTGTCAATTTCTTATTAAATTTTATTTGCATAAGTTGTTCCCTGCATTTTTTTCCCTTTTCTTCTATTCCTGTTTTGATGTTTGAGTGATGATTCTTTAAAGGAAAATCTGTTGTCTTTCTTTTAACACATTACTGGGTGTGTAATGCCCTTAAACCCACCATCAGTGGTGCATTCAATGATTATCTTGCCTTTCAGAAATTCAATATATTACTCTAATTGCTTAAGTTGCTTTTTTCTTATACTACTGTTTTCTTGTTTATGGGTGCAATATACCTCTAAAGCCCTTTTGGATGCTGTTATAGCTGAGTGGTAAACTAGAAATGTGAATGCTTGGATGGATGAGTGGTGAAACTAGGAATGACTTGGTTAGAAATGAAGTCATATAAATGATCTTAGGAGTAGCTCCAATAGGTGATAAAATGAGAAAAAGTAGATTGAGATGGTTTAAGTGCCCATAATTTAACACCTGTTAGAGAAAAGTGATCTGTTACTAGTTGAAGGGACAAGAAGAGATGGGGGCATACCGAAAAGGACTTGGTTGGAAGTAATAAGAAATGATTTAAGTGCCCATAATTTAACAATGGACATGGCACTAAATAGAACAGAATGGCGAAACAAAACTTGCATAGCCAATTCCATATAGTTGGGACAAGGATTAGACGATGATGTTATGGCTGAGTTCATTCTGTAGCTACTAGCAAATATCAGTTCAAGCATTTAATTAAATACCGAGCTTATTTTGTATCCAAGTGCCATCATGAACTGTGAGGACTAGTTTTGACCTGAAAAGGAGTATCTTTACTTTTTCAAAGTAGAGCCAATATCACAAAAAAAAGTTACAAGATGTTTGACCATTGTCTTCATCATATAGTACATATGAATCTTAGATGTCTTAATCCAATTCCTTCTTCAGTTCATCCTATTATTTTTAATACACATTTGACCCTTTATCTCAGGGCCATTGCTTGGTGTAAGGGTAAAGTCTTGTGCTGACAAGCATTTTAGTGTAGGTTCAAGTCTGAGAGCAGTCACTTTTTGTGAAAAAATGCCAATTGTTAGGGCCATATCCAGTCCAACCTCCCAAGACCCTAGATGTCTAGGACCAGCACTGGATAATGGCCTAATTTAACCTAAAGCTGTATGGTTTTATATTTTTGGTTTTAACATTTGGTCATGACAATTATTTATAAAAAAAGCATTTCGTTATGACAATGAAACTGTCACTTTTGTAGTATTTATAGATATTCAACCAAAAGAAAATTAGATTATGGCCAATTAGTAAGACATTCCTTTCGCCAAAACTAATAACAACCCCCCCAAGGTATGTCTCCAGCGCATTTTAGGACACTGCTTTGACCTAGCAAGGTGAGTTGATGCCCAAGTGACAGAAAAATGAATAAATAAGTACTGCATATTTTTAATGCATGTATATAACCACGCAAGTATTATGGCATTTCATATCAATTGTAAACTATGAAACTACAATTTAAATCAATAAATGATGAAATAGCTACTTGCATTTAATATTCAATAATAATGACAAGATTTTACAATAACCGTCCTGGTTCAAAAGAAAATGGGCATACACACAAGGATCCAAATCAGAAAAAGCCTTGTCCCAACTATACAAATTCAAGGATTAAGAACCCTAATTTTTATCTCCATTTATATTCCTATCAACCAAAATGGGTTACACATACTCATATTGTTGTATGTAAAGGGGGCATTAGTTTCTTACCTTCTATTCCACTCACCTGGTTGGTTGCCTAGATGATGGGCCTCCAAAATGCATAGGCAATTTCCTAGGTGATGCTTTGACTACATGGATTGAATATTATGCACCAGATAGCCCCTTGCTGCTTTAAGTTTAGTTGCAAGGAAAGGATCGAGAAGGTATTTAAGGTGCTAAATTGACTGTTGGCAAAAACATTACATCTGGGTGATGATTAAAGATGCTTCACTCATTTACATAACTTGCCAAAACACCTTTATTTTGCTTGTGTAAGAAGAACCTGGACTTAAGACAGGGCATCATTATGAGTTGATGAATTGTAGATTTCTTTCACCTATAATGGTCTACAGAGTAAGTCCTGTTTTTGTTTGGGCAGCAGTTGTTGCTTCTTATCCAACAGAGGGAAAAGACTGCTTCTCAAGCTTTCCTTGTGTCAGGATCCGTAAACATCATCATTTGTAATTAGATATATTTTTTTACCTATATCCAATTGGTGTGAAGGTTTCTAATTAGTTAATGATTTTTTTTGAGACAATTAACCAAGATTCATTAATAAAAAAAGAGGTACATGGGAAGATGTACCAAGCAGGGGAAAAACCCCTGTAAATTACAAAGGAGGAAGCTTGTTGCTATAAAGTTGCTCTAAAATTAGTTAATGAAAAGTAGGGTTTTTGGAGCATCCTAGTCATCTGTTTTCAAGGGAACATTACATGCATTTTGACCATGCACTGCAAGCCTAGGCAGACCACTTAGAGGCTTTCTTGCATCTGTTGTGCATAGCGTACTAATGCTGGAGTGTTCCTAGAGTATTCTTTAAGACTCTTTAAGTGTCTAGAATGGTTTGGACATAATCTAGAGTAAAACCATATAGAGATGTCTACATTGAAAGTCTAGATAATTGAATGTTCTGGAAATGTCTATGCATGTTATAGAATTCTCACTAGTCATTAGATTGTTTCCATGTCATGTAGTGCAGTCCTGGCCATGCATTGAGGACATGGAGGTCTATAAATAGGGATGACTTCCCGTTCACAAACCAAGCTTGGAACCAAGCAAGTTGTAATCCTCTCTTGAATGCAATACCAAGTTCCCTTGTGCTCTTCTATGTTTTTTTTTTTTTTTTTTTTTCTATTACTTAGCTTGTTTTGGTTAAGTCCTTTGGAGTTTGAAGCTTTCTCTGCTTAAAGTGGAGTTAGAATGCTGCACTACTAAGGCTTAAGGCATAGTCTGGCCATGACAATTCCACTTCTTCACAATACCTTGCATATTGTCTGTTTAGCATGCTTACTGTGGCAAGGATGTGATGGAAGGCATGCATGTGTTTGTATTTAATGGATCCAGTGCTTTTAGTTTAATTTTTAATTGTTTTTTAGCTTTTTTTTGCTTGTTTGCTGCTAAGTTGCCATGCTCGTAGTAATCAGAGCAATCTGAGTGTTTTCTAGACTCTAGGGATAGGGTTTGTTGAGAATTTGTTTTGAGGTTCAAAATGTTACAGTGATTATTATACAAAGACACATTTGATTTGTTTAAATGTTTTTTAATCTTTTATTCACTTCAAATTTGTTCCCATTTGAGTAACTTTTCATTATAGGACATTGCTTTTGCTTCTATTTTTCTATAGGAAGGGGCAATGGTGGAGACTGAGCACCAAAATACATAGCCTGTTCTTTACTTCTTGTTTTACAGACTATACGAGCATGGTGCAACAGAAACATTTTTCATGGTCTACAAGCTGTTGGTTGACACATCTGTGTCAAGTGACAATGCCAATGAAGCAAACATCTAGAAATACTATAGGACTTCCAATTGTTGATTGATTAATTCTGCTTGGTGATGGAAGGTGATACTGTTTCATTGATACTCTAACATGTTTGAACTTCAACTCTAGCTGCTGTTGTTGTTTGGTGCACTATAGTCTCTTTCTCATTATATCATTATTTTTTGGAATTTTTCTTGGGAATCTAAAGTAGATTTGGTTCAGGAACAGTTCAGATAAGAGTTAATGCCACAACACTGCCAACACACAAAACCATCAATCATTTAGCATGATATTATCCTTTTGTTTTGTAATGAACTGTATCTCGTGGTCTGGAAATATTCATTTCAATCTGCTTAACATAAAAAAAAACGCAAAAAACACTGAGTATCATTAATATGCTCTAGCTAGAGAGGAAGTTTATAGACAGATGTGTTGGGGCACATAATCCCTTGGGCTACTACTGTTTTTTATCTACTTTTTTTGAACAGTAAAGAAAAAAATTATTAAAAGGAAAAAAATATTACTATCCGGATGGATGCCAAGATGACACACCAAACTACTAATCAAAACTCAAAAAAGATCCGCATTACAAGCTTGAATCTCAAGGACATCCCAGAAGTTTTCCAGCAAATCTGATCTGTTAACTTGCTCAAATTCTGGAAGAATTTTACTTGTTCACTTCAATGTTCTTTGACTTGTCTTCAAACTGCTTTCTGTTCTTTTCTCTCCAAATTGTCCAACTTACCAATTCCCTTCTTTGTCCCAACCCTTTTCCTTTTCAATTCTTTCCCTTTTTTCTCTTCTCTTTCTTTATTTTTTTCAAATTGTTCAAAAGCTATCCTAGCAAATCCTTCCCCTCCCCAGTAGAACAGATCAAGGGACCTTCCTACTGATACTTCTCTTTCCACCAATTTATCAATTGCCACTTCCCCATTCTGACTTCGATATTCCTTTGTTCACCTATCTCCTTACCTCTTCCCCTTTGATATTCCTTTGTTATTTTTATCTACTTGGGGCTGGTTCTGTGGTTGTGGGCTAAACAGCAGTGGAGATTGCTCTTCTATGTTGGTGCAGAATTGATTGCTTTCTTTTTTTAAATGTTATCTCTGCACTTTATATCTGTGACTTGATAAAACCTTGATCAGTCATCAACCAAAAAAAATACTGATTATCATTAAAGACTGATCTAAGCTTTCATCATGTGGTTGTGTTTCTATTTGTCTTGTATCCACTTTCTTCCATTACAATATAGAACACTTCTGATTTCATCTTGGCAAAGCAAAGTGATGAGCTAATGGGTCTGAATTTTATGTGGAATCACATAAAACAATAGTCTTCGAAGTTCTCTGATTGCTTTGTATGCCAATGTCCAAAAAATGACTGTTGTTAACCGTCTTTTAATTTGTTTTGTTTTACTCACAGACATAATAATGCAATATTTTCTGTCTTTTTTCCCATGGCGGATTCATCACTCTTCTCAAACATGAATTTGAAGTTAAATTTTTTGTTCAGACGTAAGTATGTACAGGAGTTGTTGCTGCCTGAGGATTTCTCACCAGAGCTTTCTGATTTGGTTTTGGAGGATGCTTGGGGGATTCAGTGTTTTTTATTTGTTTTGAATTAAATTTCCTGTTTTCTGTCTCCAAAAGAGGACACCCATTACTTTGTGAACTAGACAGGGGTGATTGGTTAAATAAAAATAGAAGGAAAGAAAATCCATACTGGTTTCCTTTTTTCTTTCTCTCTCTTTTCCTTTTTGTTTTTTCTAAGATGCTCTATTGTTTCTATTCTTCTTGCTTCACTGTGTTAGTGTGTTTATGATAATCTCCTCCAAATTGATCATGATAATGAACTTTGTGGTTGAAACAGATTTTTTTGTAATGTAACTTATTGCAGAAACACGTTCTCTCCCTGAACGGACCGGTGGTGACTGCATCAGGATTCAAAGATGAGCTGGCTGTTGTGACACATGCATCTGACTGTCTTCCATCAAATGATCAGGTGACCTTTATAAGTTAACTCCTAATGGTATTCACAAATAAAAAGTTGAATGGTGGGGTGGATTCTGAATTTCAACTAATAGAAAATCATTGATTGTCTTGTTCTTCATTTAAACCTTGGCATTCTGTCCCAAGACTGAGCAAATAGCTTGTCTATCTAACACTAATAGTAATATATTATGGAGATTGTTTTTCAGGGGTCAACTGCTAGTCTAGGACTGCAAGGTGCATTTTTTGGACAACGTTGTTTCACACAGATGACCTGAGTTCAAATCATGTTAACAGCATATAACTTTTACTGAGAAAGAGATGTTTTTATCTGACACTGTTTCATCAAGAAATACATGATGTATTTGTTAACATAGAAATAAATAAGGACCAATTAACCTTGTGATAATATGATTAATATGCTTATTGTAACCTGGCAATGATAACCTCACAATTAACCTTCTACCTGTTTATACATTATAGAGTTGTGGGTCTCTTGTACAAGCATTTCTGTAAGCTCTTAAATGTTTGTTGGTGCCTTCTAAGGAATTTGTTTGACCTGTTGAAATTCTGTAAGCTGGTAGGTCTAAACAGAAAGGAAAGGTGTTTTAGAGTGTGGTTCCTCTTGTGGTCAGTTGAGTTATTTGGAAGGAGAGGAACCGAAGAGTGTTTGAGAACAGGAGCACTAAGGATGAGGTGGTGTGTCAAGCTGTGGCTACCGTACAGTCTTTGACTGTCGGCTAATGTTCAATTTAGAGGATTTCCACATCACCAGCTTTTTTAACAAAGCATGCTATTTAGTTGATACCCAGACCTATACTGGAGTACAATTTTATTTGGTTTTTAGTTTTTTGGGGGGAGCCATGGTTTTAATGGCCTTAGTTGAAGTGTAGTTTCTGGCTATACATGTCACATACATAGTTTTATACATGGTTTATCCATCTAATCACGATTCATCTCAGTGGAAGTTAATATACTACTTTACCTTTTCCTCAAAAAAATTGGTTGATATATCGGGACTTCACACCTGTTACATGATGATACCAGATGGGTTGTTAAATGGTCATTTCTTTGATCTGTAGATGCTCGAGTTCAGAGTGTTCAACATTTCTAATGGAGTGCAGCCTCACAGTGGTCGTCTTCCTCTCAGTCCTGGTTCCTGTCTGACATGGTTTGGGTTCAGTGAAGAAGGTCAATTAAGTTGTTATGACTCCAAGGTGTGGTGGCTTATTTTCCTTTCCTTTCAATTTTTAAATGATGTTACAATTATATCATTTTAAATGATGCCACTATCATATCAACTAAGTTTTGCTGCTGCACCTAATTTTTTCTATATAGGGAGTGCTGAGGGTATATACCAACCAGTATGGTGGCAGCTGGATTCCGCTCTTCAGGTTCCTGGTTTTCATTTTGTGCATTTTAGATTTGATTCCTGCATGGATTCCTTCTCATCTTGTCTGGTCTCACATTGGCAAATCACTAAGATGACTAGGATCTACTGTGCAGTGCTAGTAAAGAGAAAAAGTCAGAGGAAAACTATTGGGTGGTTGGGCTGAATGCAAGCAAGTTATTTTGCATTATTTGTAAACATCCCGATTCATTCCCACAGGTAATATGCCTGACTAGCTTTATTTTGTTTTTCATGTTTTTAAGTTGCAGCTTCAGATATTCTTTTTCTTATTCTCAGGTGATGCCAAAACCTGTTCTTACTCTGTTAGACCTTTCATTTCCTCTTGCATCATCTGATCTTGGAGCAATGGATCTTGAAAATGAGTTTATATTGAGTAACTTGCATCTCTCACAGGTATTCTATTTCTCTTTCTTATCATGCTTTAAATGTCTTGCTTTTATGCAAATTATCAGCTGTTTTAGATGTATTAAGTTTACATTAAGGTGGCGTTTGATAACACTTTTCAGACATCTAACATTTGAAAAAAATTTCAAATGTTCGAGGCGTTTGACATGGTCTCGTGCCTAACCAATTTCAGAGGTGATGAAATGATGTTAATGCCCCCATTAACTTCATTTATTTAATAACAATAATTAATAAGTAATTTATTTAATAAATAGCTTTTTAATAATATTTTTATTTGATATTAGCTAATAAATAAGTATTATTATTAAGTATTTGTTACTAATTAAATAATAACTAATGAGGCATTATTAATTAAACTAAGTAATTTTTTGCTTATAGTCCATTTAAGGCCTGAGATCCATCAAGATACCCATGTATGGGAGCCAAACAAAGATGGCATTTTTTTGTTGTCATTGCAACTCTTTTTATCTAAGTGACATTTTGAACCTTGCAGATTCAGAAAAAAATAGATGAAATGGTTGTGGCTGGTCTGGATACTACTTCCCTAGATGATGAAGCTTTCAATGTGGAAGCAGCTCTTGACAGATGCATCTTGAGGCTTATTGCTGCCTGCTGCAATGGTGAGATATTATGATTTAAGATTACATGATAAATTGATAATCCTTATGTCTGTATTTTGAAGGTGCTTGTTATTTCAGGTGATAAGCTTGTGAGGGCTGTTGAACTTGTGAAACTTCTGTCATTGGAGAAGTCAGTTAAAGGTGCCATAAAGCTTGTTTCTGCCCTGAAACTTCCAATTTTAGCAGAGCGCTTCAACAGCATTCTTGAGGTAACCAACCCCTTCCGTAAAAGAAAGCAATGATATTACTTATGTGATAAAAAAAAACGTAAAAAAAAATTATCAAAAAAAGAACGTAAAAAATAACTGCATGTTGTGGTAAAGCATTTATAGAAAGAGCCAATTATATCAGAAATATAGATATATGTTTCTCATTATTTTCTTTTCCTTTGTTTTTGGTCAGGAAAGCTACATACTTTCATTTGTTAGCTAACTTTCTTAACCAACAGGAAAGGTTACTGAAGGAAACTATGGGGGCACCTGCAATTTCAAATTCAACCTCTGGAGCAGCCTTCAAAAATATTGAAGCACATGCCTTACCTATGACCACGAGAAATAGAGCATCAGAACCTGTTAATCCATTACCTCAATCAAAGCTATCCTCTCCTCCGATTACGAAGCAAGAGAAATTACAAGAGGGGATTAAAATTGGGCAGAAGATAGAGTCCAATAAAACTTCATTACCTCCACCAAAACTGCCTTCCCCTGCTTCAAATCAAGAGAAATCAGAAGAAAAATCTCGAGTTAGGGAGAAGCCAGAACCCAGTAAAACTGTGGCTGTTGGAAACAAAACGGAGGGAATTGATCAGTTACCATTTAATCGTCCAACTAATCCATTTGCCAAGACATCAAGCAACCAGGAAAAAGGATCTTTACTTGATTCTATCAAGAAAATGAAAAAAGTTGAAAGTGGAGGTAAAAAGTAAGGAGGCAGCAATTTCCCGAAAACAAAAACAGGCTAAAGAATGTAAAATATAAGTAGAAAATGATGAGGAATTAGCTGTTTGAAGAGGAGATGGCAAATTGCACAGCCTAATGGAGAAAGATTAGCGGCTTCTGGTAAATAGAAACAGCTAGAGAAGGATTGTAGGCTGTATGTAATATGGTCATATTGTAATTGCATTTTATTATTTCATGTAATTCACCTGTCATCGTGAAACATGGCGCATCTCCTGACTACATTTGCAGCTACACCAGCTGACATAATTAGTCTGACGGATGGCTGGATGGGACTTGCTACAGGCGAACGCCATTGTAAATTGTAATCCATTGTCTTCAAGCGTAAAGCCGTTTGTCTTTGCTTACGAGTGGATTATATAGCCCCTCTGATCCCCAGAGAAGTAGTTACCAATAATCCATACAAGAACAGGATCCATTTTTAAAATAGTGAAATCTATTTGAATCCCTAACAATAATTTCACGGTTGTAAATCTTAGAGAGAAGCTTAATTGCAGAATGGCAATCGCCACAGACGCGTAGGTTTTTCACCACGCGTATTGTTGTTCCAGGTCTCGTGTTGATGAATCCAAATGCAATTGCCAATTTTTCACTGTGGTGCCCTAGTGAAGTCTGTTTCACCTCTTCCTCGTCAATATCCAGCAAACATTGTTTTGCGTCTGGTTCATAACCTGCATTTTTTAATCTTTCTCCCATTTCACCTAGCATCTTATAGATCTCTTTCTTTCGAGAATGAGCTGTATCTCCAACAACAAACTCGTACACAACTCCATCCAATTCAATTGAGCTGCTGCCAGGTGGCTTCATTATTCCTCTTTTCCACATCATTTTTCTCACTTCATGAACTTTGTCCCATTTATCAGCCATAGCATATATATTTGACAACAGAACATAGCTCGCATGATCATCAGGAGCCAGTTCAATAAGTTTAAGCCCTGCTTGCTCCCCCATTTCAAGATTCCTGTGGATTCTACAAGCACCCAATAAAGCCTTCCACATAACTGCATCAGGTTTCATTGGCATGGTTCTGATGGTCTCCTCTATCCTATTGAACAGTCCCGCACGGCAAAAAAGATCAACCATGCACCCATAATGTGCAATAACAGGTTCAATCCCATAAACCTCACTCATCTGTCTGAAATAATCAACACCATATTCAACTAACCCTCCGTGGCTACAAGAATTCAAAACACAGGAAAAGGTTATTGCATTTGGCCGAATTCCCGATGACTCCATCTTCGAGAAGAGTTCAAGTGCTTTCAGGCTTTGTCCATTTGCAGCCAATCCAGAGATCATTGCATTCCATGTATCAACACTTTTATTACTTGTTTTCTGGAATGCTTGAATTGCACCTTCTAAGCACCCACACTTGGCATACATGTTAATAAGTGATGACCCGAGGTTCTCATCAAGCTCAACTCCATGCTTGTCTATGTAGGCATGAATCCACCTTCCTTGAGCAAGTGTACCCAGACAGGCAACTGCAGATAAAACACTAACAAGTGTCACTGGGTTCGGTTGGACACCCTTTTCTTGCATTCTCCGGAAGACCTCGATTGCCTGCCTGAACTCACCCATTTGAACATGAAAAGCAATCATCGTATTCCATGACACTAAATCTCGAGAAGGCATTCTATCGAAGAGTTGGTGAAGCGACTCACCATCTCTGTTATCTGCATACCCTTCGAGCATGCTGTTCCAGGTAACAATGTCTAACTCCGTACTTGTATCGAAAATCTTGCGAGCATCTGAAATTGACCCGGAGATTGCATAGAGATGAATCAGCTTATTTCGAATAAATGAGTCATTCTCGAGCCCGTACTTGACAACATGAGAATGGAGCTGTTTCCCAGTAGCGGGCGCTGGCAATTGGGTGCAAGCCTTGAGGAGAAACGTAAAGGTGAAGTGATCGGGTTCAACAGACCGGCGCAACATCTGATCGTAGAGAAGAATGGCTTTGAGGGGATTTTGTTTGATGAGGTTTCCTCTAATGACAGCGTTCCAGATGAAAGGGTATGGTTCTTCGACGGAATTGAGGACCTTCTCGGCGTATTTGAGGCTTCCATGATCGGAAAGGGCATAGAACTCGGCCAGTCGGCTAACCGAGTAGGTATCAGAGATTTGAGAGGATTTGATCATGAGAGCATGGATTTGCTTGGCTTCTTGCAGGTTCTTACAGAGGACTAAGAGAGAGACGTTTGTGTTCGGGGTTGGTTTCCTTGGGAGGTTGGTTATGGGAGGAGAATAGGAAGCTGGGATTGCTGAAGACATGGGTAAATCTAAAAATGGAGGGAAGTGAGTGAGTGATCGTTGATGGTTGTATTACAGGTAAAAAACCGATACAGCCATACACGGTCAATGATTTAGTAACCTATTAGCATCCTGACCGTTGGCTTCGTCATCCTGTTGAGATGATGCGAGAGTGAGTAATCAAGTGAAAACTGAAAATTGAAAACCCTAGTTGAAGGGTACGATCAAATAAGATCAGCCTGAAATTCTGAAGCGTACATACCCCTGAGTGAACGTAGCATCGAGTCAATGGGTGGAGCTGCGTCCGGTGACCGTGGCCGGAGAAGATGATGACGTCGGCAATAAAAGGAACAATGTGAGGACGAAGTAGGGATAAAGAGGAGATAACACCGGAGGGTGCTTGCTGCTGGAGGTGAAGAAAGAAAGAAATTGGAAAATGGGATGAGGAAGGGACGACTAATGCGCTTTTTCATGTGCCACGGTTTCTTTCCAACGAGAGAGAACTGTAATCGGCCATGGTGTCCATTCATTAAGAAAGTGACACTTCTTCAGAGAAGCTTTCTCGTTACACGAAAGATCGGCAACGGAAGGAAACCGTGGAGTTAGCACGCGGGAACGTTTTGGAGCTAACGGGATGCTCTAACAGCCGGCCCATTAGCTCCGCACGAACACCCTACCGCGTGCGACTGCATATGTGGAGGTCGTACGTTTGTATGGGGTTTTTGTGGGGCGACAGGCAGTGGGGTAGAGATGCGAAGTCGACAGGCAGTTGGGCAGAGATGCGAACTCGTTAAAAGAGGACGAGAACGTCGAGAAAGGAATATAGATACAATAGTATTTATACTCAATAACATTTTTGGTTGAAACGTGAATTAGCTATGGTGTGGTGTCATGTGGAGGTCCCTCCAAATAGCCAAACTGATATGGATAATTCGATAAGGGTTGTGTTGGGTATCATTGTCAATTATAGTTGCAACGTTTTATATCGGTCAATACAATTTTTTGAAAAATTGCCTTATCATATCACACCAAATAACTATTTATCTTAAAAATATAGGTCATGTTTGGCATTGATGCTGTTTTTCGAGAAAATGGTGCCATGTAAGTGCCACATAAGAGAAAGCTGTTTCAAGCAACCCCTTTTTGTTTGATATTTTTTTTCCAAAAAAAAAAAAAAAATGTTGCTGCATAACATCCCTTAGAAATCAGGAAAGTGTGGTTTGGAGCAATTCCAAATTCAATATTTTCTGAGAAAATGATGTATTGTTGCCAGCGGTGTAATGATGTGGCATCATCTTGGACGTTGAATAATATAGATCAATGTTGAAAACATTACTGCCAATAGTGGCACTAAACAAAGCCAGTGTTGTTTTTTTATAAATACCTATGTGACAATACCGGTTCCAAACAAAAAATAAGCACTGTTTTCTCTTCCAATTCCACATGCTAACACCGTTTTTATGAGAAACGGTGTGATGTTCCCAACAACGATGTCAAACACCTACATAGTCATTGGATTGGGTGTTGGCATTTATAGTAGAAACACCAAATTTGACATTTCTCAAACAAACAATTGTGGTACCAAATGTTGTATGATAACTCAAAGCATTTGTGGTAGAAAAATATATTCTCGTAAAATTTGTACTAACCAAACAAAAATGTTGCAAGTTGCAAGTAGAGATGGCAATAGCATCAAACACAACCAAGGAAAGTTGAATCCCATTTTCAATTGAAATAGAAAGTAAGGACGAATTCTGTTCTAATAAAATCCATTTCCACAAAGCCAATGATCTCCTACCCACTAGATACAACAGCACATTGGGAATATCTCCCATGAATAGTTACATGTAAATACGGAAGATATTTGTGGGTAGGATCCCAATGTACACATTGACTTGCATTTGTGAGAAAGAGTTTAGGGCTATTTGGTTCACTTGAACAAGTGCTTTTGGAATGGGATTTCAATTTCCATTCTTAGCATAATGCAATTCAACAAATTTTCAAATCCCACTCGTGGCAGAATAGGATCCCATATGGGGGAATGACCATTTCAAGTTTCCCTTGGAATACGATTCCCATTGTAGAGTTTCTTAAGAATTAAAGAACTCTTGACCAAAACAATTTCCGCAATAATAAAATAACCATTATATATCCATAAAATATTAATAAAGTAATGGTGAAAATAATAAAAAACAAACTAATGAACGAAATAAGAACAATAAAGATTGGAATGGCGGTTCTGATTCCAATTCCAAGTATGATCCTGATTGTGAACCCAATGAATCGTCAACCTTTTTTCCATAACCTATAATCATCACCGTTTCCGTAAGATTTTCCCATTTCTACCAGTATTCCTATAACTTTAACACAACTTTGGGATAAAACAATTTTAGAATAAATTTGTTTTTGTGCATTCCTCTAATATAAGTACTAGACAATTACATCTATGTATCTTTTTTTTGTTTTTTAATTATGCCTCTGGTAATTATATATAATTTGAATTTCTTATTTAATTTAAGTAATTAAATCGTGTTTAATTTGCAATTTAAAATTCTTTACAATTATTAGTTTATTTGATTGAGGAAATTGAATTACAAATATTAATATGTGCCCCACACATCCTTTGGAGTTGATAATTTTTTTATAGGTAGTCATGTGTCTAAAGTTAACGAATGGATACTTTTTTATGAGTTGCTATGTGTTTAAAATTGGCACTTTTTTTTTTTTTCTCAAATTGGATTTAACAACTGTCACTTTTTTGGAGTTTCATTACTCTCACTATATATCATTTTGTTTTTTTAATAGATGAAGGTGATTTGACATATACACATGATCATTTTTCACTTTTTTTTTTTTTTTATTTATCTCTGTGGTGCCGGGTTTCTTGCACTCAATTTGGTATGTTCCAGGGTGCACTTCCAATTAGATTGGAACACGTCACAATTTGTATGATCACCCCTCACATGTGCAGGAAAACTAAATGGCGAGTTCACCCCATTTTAATGTTTGGAAAATTTATGGTTTGCTCCCTTTAGAAAATTTTATTGGTTTTTGAGTGTATTGTCCCAAACCCCATATGCTTAGAATACCCCCTTTATGTTTTTATGATACAACTTTTTTAAACTTAAAATTAAAAAGAAAAAATGCGAAAAAAGGAAACTCGGCTCCTTTATTCACCAATAACCAAACCCCTTTCTCCACCTCCACAACTATGCCATCAAATCACCTTCACCCCCTATATTTCCTCTCCCACAAACTAGTCAAACACTTACTATTGTACTCCTGCCTGCCTGCCCTCTCTTCTCTTCCCTCTCCTATTCGAACATGGTTGTTATTGTAGAGAACACAACAGTGACCCATGAGTCGATTCATTTGTCCAGCCTCACAAATTCCTTCTATTAATCAAACTATTAGTGGTAAAATCTCCATTTCTTCTCGGTTTCAATCCATGTTATCCCCCAGCAAACCACCATTTTTTCTTATTTCTCGAGCATTTCTCAGTGTTCTTTTATTCTCCTAAAGGTATATGATGAATGATTTATCCAGAAAAGTAACATTATTGAAAGGGACAATATATATATTTTTTTGGTAAATTGAAGTAATTGTATAAAGTTTAAGGAGGATACATATCAGAGTAGGCAAAGGCATAAACGGGCCAATCCAAAAGGAAAAGTGAAAATTCCTCATCCAAAACGAATTGGGTCCTGAGACGGCATGGGCCAGCACATAGGCTAGTTGGTTTGAGCTTCTGTGAACATGTTGAAAAGTCCAACAACCTGCCGAATATCGTGGATGACTCCTGATAGAGGGGATAAGGAGGTCGAATCCTGGATTTGAATCATGTATACTGCCATCTTCGAATTGGATTCTAAAATAATAGTATTGGCACCCAAAAGATGTGCATGTAGACAGTAGACACCCCAAGTGAACGGCTTCGAGCTCAGCATCAACAACTGAGGAAGAATGGCCTTGTTCTACACGGGCATCCAAGATTTCTCCAAAAGATCTGATCACGCATGCTATTCCATTGATGTTTCTAGAGTTATTCCGGCTTGCATCACAGTTTGTGGAGGAGGAGGAGTCCACGACACAGGTGGATAATTTGAGGTAGGATTCCCAGAGTTGATAGTCGAGTTCTTTGGGAACAACTCAGTAATAAGTATCTTGGCTTGTTGCAAGATCTGGAAAGGGAGTTCCCAACAGATAATGGCTTGATAAGCTATCGGGTGGTGATCAGTAGAGTAACTTGATTCATTGAACCAACTAGAAATCCAGTAGTCGACAAGCAAATGATTCAACTTAGTAGATCTAAAATTCAGTGGGCTAGCCAGCCATTTGGCTTTCGCAAAGGGGCAAGCAATTAGCAAATGGGTAATGATGTGGCGTAATCCGGTTGTTCCCTGTTGGAGATGATCTAACTGCCAGTAAGACGAGGACTAGGTAACCTACAATAGATGAATCGGAGATCCCGGGGTGGCTTATCCGGTGGGGACACTCCGATGGCTAAGTTAGTGCGCTTCCAAACCCCCGTCGAAGAAGTAAGAGTTCCTCATCGTCCTCCCTTTTGAGGTTTCTCACACCTTCCGTTAATGCGTTCTTCTCAGTTTCCCGCCGAATGATCCGAAGACAAGAAAAAGAACAACAAAGAGGGGTTTGCCGCAATTAAAGAAATCGCTTCAAACAATTAAAGCCTTCACCAAAGGTAATTGAAATTTCATGAGTTAAGAGTTCTGTTTTTGTTGTCCAGGATTTGTCGCAAACCAGAGCGTGCCCAGATTGATACAGATCAGAGCATGCCGAGACGGAGGTAGGTTAAACCGACGAGTATAATTTATCAGCGATGAGAAACATGCAATTGATTGTTGCGTTTAATTTATCAGCGGATTAACAAGTTTCCTTCTTCATTTTCATTGCATATGGATTAACTGGCTTTCTTCTTCATGTCATTGCCTCTCTCAATGGGATTCAGTCTTCCTAGTTGTGAACCCAATGTATCCCATAGATCTTGGTAACCAAACAATTTTCGTCAATGTTCTTCTTTATTTTTCTTTGCCCATTAAGGCCGTCTTCCAGTCTTTCGATGCAAGGCAACGAAAGTCGTGTTTTCCTATCAATTAATTTATTGTCAAAGTTAACTTATTGATGACGTGACGCTTACCCCGGAAAACACCGGGAAAATGCATGCGTAGTCGGCCCACCAATCACCATATTCCTTACACCTAATTACCCCGGAAAACACTTGGAAAGGAAGGCCTTCCTGCTGGAATGATAAGAGCTAAACTTTTCGTTGAAGCTTGCGTCTATTATAAACCATGGAGCTCCGCTTATGAAGCACCAGCCACCAAGAGGGGAGACCAAGCCTCCGAAGGAGTCGATCCGTCGCCAAATAAGCAAATCTAGTGTCGTAATCTGAGGCATAAAATGGTATTCAGCGTTCAAACATTATTTCTATCATTTCAATTCTTGGCTTTGAGAGTGCGCAAGAGACTACTACCACAAGTGAATCTGAAGGCGCCATCTCTTCTTCCCATCACAAACAAACTGCCACATGAAGTGCGGACACGGCCGGAGGAGCTGATTTGTGCATTATCGTTTATGACCGTGGTGTCCCTTATACAGCTGCCCTACGAATATATCGACGGCAACCCAATCCCCACCATCATATTTGGAGGCCAACCCTCCACCTTTCATGCTTTTCTATTATCACTCGTATTCTCATTCTCGGGCGCAGCTTGCACCATGATGCTCAGAGAAGACTACCCAAAAGCGGCCAGATATTGCAGGCGCTTTGGCATCGCCGCTTTCTTTGTTGCTGTGCTCATTTTCTTGTGGGCCGCCCTCCCTGATGCAGTCAGGCTCTTTTCGTCCCTTACTTGCACGCATCCCTAAGTATAGGCCTCAAGTGTGTGGCTTTCGGTGTGAAAATAAAGTCATGTGACTCATATCTATATATCTATATTTCATGTATTAGTATATTTAAATTAAATAAATAAATAAAA